CCCACCGTGTTTCAATCTCTAACAAATTCTTTAGCAAAAGCATCAAAGGAAAGCTTCTTTTTCTTTTCTTTTTCTTTTGTAGAACTTTGTTGTCTATTAAAAGAATATGAAACCATCCACTGTACTCAGAGATTTCAAAAATAGATCACGTCAGCTAAAGTTTGGCTTTCTTGTTTTTGTAGATGTGCTTCACTTATTATGTCAGCCGCATGGCCGTGCCATTTGCTATAAGCTTGGCAATGCAAAAGTTACTTACAAAGCAACTTTCAGCAGCACTGCAGTTCACAGTGCTCCTCCTAAGAATCAGACATTATAACAAAATGTGAATAAACTATATAAGTAAAGTTAAAAGATGCCAATCAGATAAAAGGTTTTAAACCAGGCTTTTAAAAGAACTTAAAGCTTTCTTGTAGTTTGTTTCATGGAAGTCGTATAACAACTGATAAGATGCTTTTCTATCTATTTTTGACTGTAGCAGCCCATCTGAGAGGATGACATCACTGATACATTTATTTGGTTCATCATTTGCTTACAGCTCCCTATATTTAAATTATTTTCTGAATAACTTTAGTGTGTGTCCAGTGTAAACACGTGTGTCTAAACAAGGATCCAGTCTAATGGGCTGAGTTTATAACAGTAGCTTCTTTGACTTCATCCTCCATCTGCTGCACAAATGTCTTATAAAAGATGCATGATGTTTAATGGTTGTTCTGGATCTTGTTTCGGCTCTTAGGATGAAGGGAAATGAATGAAGGGAAACTCAAACAGTCTCAGAGAACACCACCTGTCCTACACACACGAGTATAAGCAACTCAGAATAACTGCTGTAAAACTCAATAGTACAACATTACCACCTCTAAAGTGGCCGTAAACTTGAATCAACAACTTTGCACCACTTTCAACAAAAACATATTGCAACATAGTTTTGTGTATAGTATTGTACTGCTATGTTTAGCTCTTCATCATAACCTGATCTGACTGTATTGTGAAAGTCTGATGTTGCTCGTCCTTAAAGCAAACCTGTAGTTTGAATATTTGATCTTCAGTAAGAGTCAGTGGAGGTAGAAAAGTCTGGTCTTTTCCAGGGCTGAAGGAAAATGCAGAAAAATGCCGAAATAATGTTAGCCGAGCAAATTGACTCGGCAGAAAAAGCACCCAACACTGGATATACTTAGCTTGACCAAGCTACCTCCCGTGCAGTTTGTGGTGACTAAATGGTTACCCAGAGATTGAATGTGTTGCACACTGACAATCACTTTTGGTCGCAAGGTAATTGACAGGAGGCAACCTTTCTGAAAAGAGTTGCAGCCTGACTAGGACTAACTCCAGTCACTCTCAGGCTACGTTCACACTGCAGGTGAAAGCGCATCAAATCCGATTTTTTTTTTACCCTATGCGACCCATATCCGATCATGGTGTGACAGTGTGAACGGCACAAATCCGATATTTTCAAATCCGATCTGGGTCACTTTTGTATGTGGTACTGAATCCGATACATATCCGATGTTTCAGAAAGCAACTGCTGTATGAATGGTCAAGTCGCATTAAATCCGTCTTTTACGCCACTGACACATGACAGATGCCAATTATCAGCGCCGGAGAAGCGCCCGATAAGACATCGCGAAAGCTTCCTGGCCATCCGGTGAAACTGCTGGAAACTGTTGCGAAATCAGTTTTACCCCGGTTCTTTTATTCCTCGAGCATCCAGAGATGGCACCGGACTCAGTAGTCATTTTCACAAAATCTTTATTCATCTTTACTCATCTTCATTTATCTTCATTTAAGCATGCACCTCTAGAAGGGAAGACGAGGCCGGTGTCCCTCTGCAAAAGTCTTCACCCCTTTGTTAGTTACAGCCAGCTTTATAGAAGTGACCCCATCATAAAACCCCCTACGGTGTGCTGCAAACTCTGTCTGTGTCTATGTGCACGAGCACATGAATGCCTACATGTGCGCGTTCCCTCGTGTCTATGTGAGTGCTCGTGTGTGCCTGTGTGCGCATACCTGTGTGTATGTGTGTGCACATGAGTGAGTGCACACACATACATATATGTGCATGTGGATGTGTGTGCGTGACAGTTAAAACACTGTGGGTGTAGGTAACTCCCTAGGTCATAAAACCCATCTCCCTTGCAAACCACAGTTATCCAGTTAGAAATGTTGAGACCCCCACCCTAAGACATCCTCTGGGGAATTTCCACTCAGTGGGGGAGGTCTCCTACACTCTACTCCTAAGTTCACGACACAATCAGCCTTTATTATATTGAGGGCAGTGTCAGTATCTCTACAACAGTTCTACATTATATTTTAACACATTTCTAAACTCTAAATCAGCTAAATATTCTACAGAAGACAACGTTGGAGAAACGTTAACATTTTATTTGTACTGCATAATCTGCAGATTCTGACAGAAATCTGCAACTATCCTTTGAAGCACCGCTCCTCTCTAAAACAGCAATAAGGATCATTATTAGGTTATCTACATTATTATGTAAATAACAAAATAACTTAAAGCAAAAATTGGGAAACGCGAAGTCCGAAGTCTTTATATTAAGGGCCATCAGTCAAACAATATTGTTTGCTCTGGGTCTAAACAGAGCGCGTTGTGTGTGACGTCTTCTTTTGCGCATGCGGGCCGCTTTGAGCGTTCACACTAGAGCGCGTTTGCTGTCGCATGTAGTGTGAACGAGCAGACAAAAAAATCGGATTTGATCAAAAAATCGGAATTAAGCATTAAGACCTGCAGTGTGAACGTAGCCTCAGATCGATCGTCAAAGGTTTGCAAACATTTATTTGGCTGATTTGTAAATGCAGATCAATTGCAAGCATGTTTTCGTCAGTCTGAATGAGTCAACAGATATGTGGTTTTCACTGATCTATCACAGTTAATTTCTGAAACAGACTGCGTGTATTTACCATCTGGACCCCATTAAATCACACACTAACATCAGACTGACTCCATCTAATGGAAACATTCATGGAATGTTTTAGTGACAAGAACTGAAAACAGATATTGACAAAGTTTTAACTTTGAGGACATCATTTGAAGTTGGAAAAAAATGATGACGTTAATGTTTTGCAATACTTTTGCATCACAGAATGTTAAAAATTACAATAATATCGTAGTGTGAGCGAAGTATTTGAAGTATTGTTATAAATTTGTGTTGTGGGCTATATGAGGATTCTTTTTTCTTTCAACAGAGAATATCACTGAACCTATTGTATCATTTCTACCTCAATGGTTTGTCCACTTTTGGGTTGTGATGGCGGCTTTTGTGTTTTTCAGAATGTCAATATCAACCTGCAAGAACACAACACACTTCAGTTCAGAGGTTGGTACTTCGTTTTTGTGCATTTAAGAACAAGAAAATGAAGATTAAATAAGAATGAACTACAGAATGATGCATAACCACAATATACTTAGACAGTTTTGTCTTTTTGTCTTAATGCTTTAGCATTTTTTTTAGTGAAAGGTTCTCTACAAATAAAATTTGTACTCACTTTGCTTACTTTACTGTTTAAAAAAAACCTTGTACCACAGCACAGGGTCATGGAGCTAAGGGAGATAATGAATACGAGTTCAAGTTGGAGTTCCTGGAACCTGTTAGACCCGAGGTACTGCTGTCTCATTTTTTTAAAGTTTTCAGGAATTGATTGGGGTGTTTTTTCCTGCTAAGGTTATGACATTGTGCTAATAATGTTCCTGTCATTCTCCAGTTTTAGTGTGAGTGAATTTGACATGGACACTAACTGAAAAACTGACTTAATTTCCAACAAATAGCTGTAGGTTTTATTTCAACACACACACAGGTTAAACAATATGTCATGTTATTTAGGCTTGATTTAATACTCTGTTTCCAGATCAAGCACAAATCCACTGAGCGTCAGGTTGACATCAAAATCAAGAAGAAGGAGGAGCGCTGGTGGGACCGGCTGACGCTGCAGGAGAAAAAGCCTCTGTTTCTGGCCCCAGACTTCGACCGATGGCTGGATGAGTCGGACGCCGAGATGGAGCTTCAGGCTAAGGCAAAACGACAATGATTCCACTCACTCTGAGGACTGAGAGTAAAATGTGTACCACAGAAAAGACTTTTGGTTGCTAACATGAACACTGTGTCTGATGGGAAGTCAAAGGACTAGAAAATGTAGTCTTTGTAGTTGCAAACAGGTTTTGTGGGATTAAAATAGTTTTGTTTGGGGGACATTTTACATTTTATCGCAGGTCCTTTTCAAAGTTAGTCATGCAAGAGCCAACTCGCATAATATTACATAACTTATTGTGATCTGGCAAGGTTCAGCTTTGCACATGTGTAATTTGAACGTAAACTTCATGTCAATGCTCCTTCCTACTTGGCTATTAAGACTGCTGAAAGACTAAATCAGTTGTTCTGGACATGCTGCTAAAATTTAATATGATTATCCAGTGAAATGTTTTTATCTGTAAAAGTGTTTTATAATTAAGGGAGTCGTGTCTTGAACTCTCTGGGACATTCACACCATCAACATGTACTACAGCTATCAATTACAGAGCCACAATAACTTTTTGCATTCCCAATAAAAAATAAATACATTTCTTTTCAACGTACTAAATTCATCACCTAGCTGCTTTGGAACTGATGAGAAATGTGACTAATTGTAATTCATTTGTTGTTCTTTTAGGAGGAGAAGCTAAACAAGATAAGTGTGGAGTCAAGAGTTCGTAATGACCGTGAGTTTCACAGAGTTCTTCACCTTCAAACAACCTGAAACTCAGATATCCTATATCACCTGTGTTTGCTGTCCTTTAGATTAAATTCTGCAGATTAATTGATTTTAGTCATTTTCTCTCTTGTTTCCACAGCATACCTGGGTCTGAAGAAAAGCTACTTGTTCATGTACAACCTCGTGCAGTTCCTGGGATACTCCTGGGTCTTTGTCAACATGACTGTCCGCCTCTTCATTCTTGGTCAAGGTTTGTAAAGAGAAAACAAATGTCTTGAAGCATGGAAAGGCAGGCATTTTTTTGGAAATGCCTTTTTGGGGTCGTTATTCAAAAAAGTAATGTATTACACACTTTTCTTAAAAGTAATGCAGTACTTTACTTAATTACTCCCAAGAGGAAAAACTAATTTGTTTTACTACTCATTTTATTATTTTCCTGTTTCTCTATAAAATGACTTTAAACACATTGTCTCATCATTACAATTTAACAATATAAGCCTATAGGCTACAGTCCCATGCACCAACACAAATCCCTATCCTAATCAGGACACACAGGATCTTTCACTTAGTATTTAGGTATGAACACAAAGCCGACGGCACAAAGCAAAGATGAAAACCAGCGCAAAGAGGCTTTAAATCGATCGCCATGGTGATTCTACTGTAGAACAATGAACAGGTAGAAACAAAGCCTGGCTGCTCATCGGTTTGTTACCTGTTGAAGTTTAGGGTCTGGCTGCCGGGCTGGTGTGAGCATTCACTCAGTTTTTACCCTGGGTTCTTGGCTAGCTTAGCATTAGCATGCTGTCTGTGCAAGTGCTTGCAAAGAGCCAAAGTTGTGCTACCAGCATAATGCTGTTGTTTCTGTCCTGCATGCAATTTGCACTTTAGCATCGCGCTCTGGTCTTTTTGTGTATAGAATAGAATATAAATAAAATGCCTATATCCATGCTGTAGACTGTGCCACTATTTTCCTTCTCTGACACAGGTACCAAAACCAGTTGATTTCAGCAAGTGCAAACAATAAGTGTGACCCATAGACAAAGGCAAAGCGGACTATTTTAAGGGAATTTTAAGGAATCTAATTACTCTTGATACCAATCCCTAGTAAAGACCATACAATGATGCAGAGAAAACCACAACAATCAGACAGTCCCCTATGACCAAAATCACTTTGAAGACAGTAGGAAGGAAAATCTTCCTTTTATCAGGAAGGAAGCTCCAACAGTATCAGGCTCAGGGAGTGGCAGCCAGCTGCTGAGAGAAACAGAGCTGAATAATAAGTAATAATTAAAGTGGTGTACAAACACAGAGGGTGAAAAGAGGTGAGTGAGTGAAGAAGCCCCCAAAAGGAAGAGTTATAAGGAACTCTATAAAAGAGAATCTGACTATTAACTTAAACACTTACCAGTATGAGCATAGTAGATGCATAGAACTGAAGTTACATCCAGTAACTACTATATTTTGAATGAACCCTTTTTCTGCTGGACAGATAAGCTACAAAGTGCTTTTTCCTGATAGATAGATATATAAATTCACGCTGCTTATTCATATCCTCGTTACTACTAATCCACCCTTTTACCAATCACCCTATCCCTACCTTCATCCCTATATATCAACCATACTAACTATACTCACTACCTACTATATACAAAAATTATAATATATATTATATTATATATATATATATAATATATTAATATTATATATCTATAGTTAAAGAGGATATAATGTAACATAATATAATATAATGTAATATAATATTGGATAATATAGTGTGATATGATAAATTTATGTGTATACACACATATATATATATATATATATATATATATATATATATATCTACAGATATATATATGTGTTTGTTGAAATCTCCCAATTCTTTGAATCTTTGGGCTGAAGGAAGGACAATACTCGGTGTATAAATGCTCAATCAACAATCATTTATTTCCATACAATTCAACACTTATGAGCATTAGAACCATCATGATGGGGAGACCTGCCTGAAGAGGGTCACAGCAAGTCTCAAAATGGTGACGTGTTACTCAGCTTCTTATAGCCGCTAGTGGCCCCCACCTAGTCGTAAAAGCCCAAACATTAACATTCTTTCTCTCTTACGGCGCCTAAGTTATGACCTCGGCAGTTGTTTCTCTGCTCTCTGTAAGGTGGGGGTATGGAATGTGGTCTATCTCCCCTATCTTAGACACAGAGTCTCCTGCTTACAACCTTCTTTTTATGATTCAACAATAAAGCATGTCAAGAAAACAGTGTAATACATTCACAGCAGATCAAGGATACAGAGTGATGCACACTTATCTAATGAACTACAAAAATGATTATGTTCTTTTAACCCAAAAGTATAATGAGGACTAAACTACATACACAGCACACCATCTAAACTAAAGGATAATATATGTCCTACAGCTGTTATCATAATTCAACTACTTTGATTACATATATAAGGTAACATATGATAACAGAATAATATCACAATTCCCCCTTTGATCTCTTTTCTTCAAAGAGATCACTTACAACATACACTCCAGCATTGCAAGGTCCAGTTCTTCTTGGTCCTGAGGCCCTCTGTCCCCCTTTAACGGGTGGACCATATGTGGGATGACCTCTGTGTTCACGCAGTTCAGATGCAAGCAAAGTTAGATTTACGACCATAACAGCAGTTACAGATGACACTCCCATCACTCCCCAATTTTCCCACAGCTTTATTTTGGTGTTCCAGTTTTCCACTCCCATTTTAATGCCCCCCTTATACCTTTCAAATGTACTTAGACTAGAACCTCTGTCTAAGGAGCTTTTAACCTTTATTTTTATTGCTGCAGCTACCAGTGTCTTCCAGTTGGGTGATTCTCAGCTTCTTTCTTCGACCTCCGGGGTTAGACCACCCTTTAGTCATTGCACAGTTCTGGGGATTATTCTGCCCCGATTTCAAACAAAGATCTGTGTGTTTTGGGATCACCGCCGTGTCCCCCTTTTTGCCAAGAGCCTCTCGAACCTCGTTGGTCTGGTGTTCCTGGTTTTCGCCAACCCCTTCATGGTTATTGCTGTGTTTGTGGGATCCATGTTCTCCAGGAGCCCAAACGCCATGACACTTGACCCCAGTTGCTGTCTCGGCAGTCCCTACATCTGTCTCTGCTGTGAAGGGTCCTCATATCTCCGTGTCCCCGTCTGGTGTCTGTTCCTTTCTCTGCAAGAGACAGAAAACCAAAACACCTCTCTCCCTAGCCTTGATAATCTAATATTGTTATCCATTGTTGTTCTAATGATTCAAATTTGGTTTAAAATATTATGTTCAGGACTCTCTGACCCAGGGACTTATTCTAATCATAATCTATGTGTGTGTAAAAGAAATCAAAAATTAATGAACCATTTCTAAGTCTAACACATTATATGCTTAAGTTTTACCATAGCTAAATTATTAAACACACAAATAAAGTCATAAGATGTTCATAAAACCATTGTTTGATGTTCGGACTCAACTTCCCCCTTTTTGACACACTCCCATGTGTCAATTCGTCGGAGCTAGACACTTAAAAGAGAAGGTTAGTGACATCATATCTCAGAAAGTATCAGAAATCTTCTCTCTGTTGCTCCAGCCTTGTTTTGGAAAATTTTATGCTTGTTATCAAAATTTGAAGAATTTTTATCATAAGTAAAAGTTATGGCGTTATCATCCCCCTCAGGGCTTAGCTTTCCCACTTTTAGTAATATTCCTCCCACAAATATTCGCAATTACCCTCCTTTGGTGTGAAAACTGTTGGTGTGGTCAAGTGGTAAATAAATAAATGGTAAATGGCCTGTATTTATATAGCGCTTTTCTAGTCCCTAAGGACCCCAAAGCGCTTTACATATCCAGTCATCCACCCATTCACGCACACATTCACACACTGGTGATAGCAAGCTACATTGTAGCCACAGCCACCCTGGGGCGCACTGACAGAGGCGAGGCTGCCGGACACTGGCGCCACCGGGCCCTCTGACCACCACCAGTGGGTGCTATAGAAACAAAAGCTCAGGACAGAACAGTTATCAGTCATGTACTTCATACAAATTTTGCATATGTTTTATTTCATATTGATCCTCTGAGTGTAATGGTACATTTTAATTTGAATTTATCCAAACTAAACACAATATTTTCTTTATTTACTTTGCTCTTGTTCTTTTGCAGTACCACATCCTATCACATGTCCCTGTCAATTATATTCTACATTTAATAACTTACTATTTCAAGTGAGAACCTAAATCACGTGGACCAATGTTTATTATTGCATATCTCTATTCTGAATGTGGCAAGTCATTCATAGGTATTGTTAAAGTTTTGGCGATTTTCCTCTATAAAATTTAATTGACTTTTTTACAGTGGCCTGCTATGGTTAATAGTAACATATTCCAGTCATGAGTGATATCAAAAGTTTTCTCCACTGTAGCATTTGGCATTCCCAATAATATAACATGATACCTTAATCAAAACACAGCTAATATAGCACAGTTTTCTGTGATGCCAGATGTTTACTACCATTGTATTATCACAGAGTACACATTCAATCCAGTTAGTCTGTCTCTGCCATGTTTGTCTAGCCAAAGTGCTGAACTTCAAACCATCTCATTCATCTTGAGGTTCTTTTGTGCATTAATTTAACCTTAAATACGCCAGAAGAGCCAACAGCTCTTCTTCACCTCTTAGAAACGTTGGACCTTTTGGCCTGCAGCATAATACACTGCTCAAAAAGTGAAGTGAGCACTCAGTATTGTCAATGGAAAATTGTATTTAGTAGTCAGTATAATCTTTTAGTGATATAAGTTTGCATATGGTAGAATACTGCATGTAGTTATTTGTATTAGGAAATATTCAACCATGTATACTTAGAGGCATATAATCAATTGTGTAGTGACAGGATGTGTGATCTCTAGCAGGCTGCAAAAGGCTTGATGTGCACACCCACATCCTGGGAGCATGAGAGAGGTCATACCTTGTCTTATTGTTTTACGGTAGGATTAACGTCGCTATATCTGTTTTAGTCTAAGTGCTTTTTGGTTTGATGAACTGCTGGACTTCGAGAGAAGTTGTTTATGGGACCACATTCTGAACCCACACACACACACACACACACACACACACACACACACAACACTGAAGTATAAAATAAAGACCGGGGCAGTGCTCAGCGCGAGTCTCTCTGTCTGGAGGCTGCCCTTGCTAGCAAGAAGTTCTGTGTGTTTCTCTTCTCTGAGTCTTTACTGAAGAAGTGTTTTATAACATTTTCCTTAACAAGTATAATATGAAGTCAGTTAAACTTCTGGGATATCAGTTAGGTATTGTAAACCATTCAAGCTGCATGGTACTGGGCTGTGAGCACTGAAGGACATTAGGTCCTCAGGCCTCCCGCGTGAAGTCTATTTCTGATTGTTTGGTCAGAGACATTCGCACCAGTGGCCTGCAGAAGCTAGACTTCCCACCCAGCTCTTTTTATGTAACACTCCATCTCCTGTTATGTCTTCCATACTCTTGAGACTGTGCTGGAGACCAACCTCTACACTGCACCTGCTGTCACTTTCATTTACACCAAACCAGGTGAAATAGTTTATGGTGGCTGTGTGCGTGTGTGCATGTGTTTGTGTGTAAACTGAAAAGAAACAAACACAATCGACAGGAAAATAAAACAGACAGGGGGTCCAGAGACTGCAGGGAGAGAGGTCTGTGGTTTTGTTTGTGAGGAGCTATTCACAGATAAGCTCATTTGAATTGAAACAGGAACACAACTACACAGCAAGGATTTGTTTTGCAAATGATCATGGTTATGGATAGTGGCTCGGGCAGCGTGCTCGCTTAATCATGTCCTGTTTTTGTTTCTCTCTCGCCCCACACAGACTCGTTCTATGATACCTTCCACACCACAGCTGATATCATGTATTTCTGTCAGATGATGGCCGTGCTCGAGGTCATTAATCCTTTGTTGGGTCTGGTTAAAACTGGAGCTTTTCCAGCTATGATACAGGTAACATCCAGCGACACATTTTGCCCCCTGTTAGTGTTTTATTTTTTTTTATTCGTCTTAACTACAAAATTGAAAGCTCATGCACATGTGCACAACATTATTGAAAATGGCAGGTAGTCAGTATTCACACGCATCACATGTGCAATTTATTTTACCTAGAGAGTCTCATGGCACCACAGAATGATTTATTTATTTAATAATTTATCATATACCTTGAAGTAAAATAGTAAAACTAAAGAGCTCTAACACAGAGCTCCAGTCTGCAGGCCTGTGTTTTTATGACAGTCAGCTTTATCTGGCCTTTAATTGTGCCTGCAGGTTGCGGGGAGGAATGTTATTTTGTTCGTCGTCTTTGGCAGCCTCGACGAGATGCAGAACAAGCCTGTTGTCTTCTTCGTCTTCTACCTGTGGAGCACCATCGAGATCTTCAGGTTAACTCAAATAGCCTTCCTCCTCTCTCCTGTTGAGGATATGTCGCTCGTTCTAACATTAGCCCAACCTCCTCTACATCAGATACCCATACTACATGCTGGCCTGCATCAGCACAGAGTGGAAGATGCTAACGTGGCTGCGGTACACCATCTGGATTCCTCTTTACCCGCTGGGAGTCATAGCTGAAGGTTGGTGATTTTGTGGTTGGCAAGCAAGTGTTGGTGTCAGTTGTGGGTAGTCATTACTGATGGTGTGTCATTCTTTGCTTCTTTTTTTTTGTTTTGTTTTTTTGCATCTAGCCGTGGCTGTGATCCAATCCCTGCCCATCTTTGATGAGACCCGTCTGTTCAGCCTGCCTCTCCCCGAGATGTTGGGAAACTCTTTAAGCTTCTCCTACACTTTGCAGCTCTACCTGGTTTTCATGTTTCTGGGTAAGTGAATTTACCACCATCACGTACCACCATCAAATCTGATTCATTTTTACTTCCAGTCCGCATGCCAAAGTATCTTTGGGCAAGATGCTGTAATCCCAAGTTACTCCCATTAGGGGTGGGCGGTATAAACGGTACACGGTGGAAACAGTATGAATTTGGCCAACGGTAGTGATTTTGATTTTCCGCTGTACCGCGCATGTTGATGGTGTCATCAAGCTGCGCCTATTTGGGTCGACAGCATCACAGCGGCTGCAAGCAGTATCATCTGCAAATTATGCCGGGTGACAGTAATAGCGAAGACATGAAGCACGTTTTGGAGTATGAGGAAAGCCAAAAACCGTGCTTCCTCCACTTCCGTACCATTGATTCATTAATGTTGAATTCTGCTGTTCCCATGTTATTGCAGTATATTAATGACTAACCTCGTATTGTGGATGGATTATCTTAGTTGTTCTCCTGACTGAAGTTTGGTCCGTTTACAGCATCCTGCCATGCGATTGCATTTGTCCCTAACCATCAGGAACCCTCACGTTAACTTTTATCGAGTGGAAAAAGTTAGCGTTCATCCTCCAGCTTCACTGTGTTTATGCTAACATAGCTGTGTAGCTAGCTCACGTAGCACATCATTATATACCAGCTAGCCCAACTTCAGTAACCCTACAAACGTCACTGCTGTTTAGTTTTCCTGTCTTCATTTATGTTGGAAGTGATAGCAGAGCTGTACGTTTAATTTGATCTCTCAGTCAGAACATGTATATATATTTAGGATAACTAGCGACAAGTGTTATATATATATATATATATATATATATATATATTTAATCAGGAAGATCTTTTATTAACACACAACACAAAAAAGTATTTAGTCAGCCACCGATTGTGCAAGTTCCCCCACTTAAAATGATGACAGAGGTCAGTAATTTGCACCAGAGGTACACTCCAACTGTGAGAGACAGAATGTGAAAAAAAAATCCATGAATCACATGGTAGGATTTGTAAAGAATTTATTCGTAAATTAGGGTGGAAAATAAGTATTTGGTCACCTCAAACAAGGAAAATCTCTGGCTCTCACAGACCTGTAACGTCTTCTGTAAGAAGCTTTTCTGTCCCCCACTCGTTACCTGTATGAATGGCACCTGTTTGAACTCATCTCTGTATAAAAGACACCTGTCCACAGCCTCAAACAGTCAGACTCCAAACTCCGCCATGGCCAAGACCAAAGAGCTTTCGAAGGACACCAGGAAAAGTATTGTAGACCTGCACCAGACTGGGAAGAGTGAATCTACAATAGGCAAGCAGCTTGGTGTGAAAAAATCAACTGTGGGAGCAATCATCAGAAAATGGAAGACATACAAGACCACTGATAATCTCCCTCGATCTGGGGCTCCACGCAAGATCTCATCCCGTGGGGTCAAAATGATCATGAGAACGGTGAGCAAAGATCCCAGAACCACACGGGGGGACCTGGTGAATGACCTGCAGAGAGCTGGGACCAAAGTAACAAAGGTCACCATCAGTAACACACTACAACGGCAGGGAATCAAATCCCGCAGTGCCAGACGTGTCCCGCTGCTGAAGCCAGTGCATGTCCAGGCCCGTCTGAAGTTTGCCAGAGAGCACATGGATGATACAGCAGAGGATTGGGAGAATGTCATGTGGTCAGATGAAACCAAAGTAGAACTTTTTGGTATAAACTCAACTCGTCGTGTTTGGAGGAAGAAGAATACTGAGTTGCATCCCAAGAACACCATACCTACTGTGAAGCATGGGGGTGGAAACATCATGCTATGGGGCTGTTTTTCTGCCAAGGGGACAGGACGACTGATCCGTGTTAAGGACAGAATGAATGGGGCCATGTATCGTGAGATTTTGAGCCAAAACCTCCTTCCATCAGTGAGAACTTTGAAGATGAAACGAGGCTGGGTCTTCCAACATGACAATGATCCAAAACACACCGCCCGGGCAACAAAGGAGTGGCTCCGTAAGAAGCATTTGAAAGTCCTGGAGTGGCCTAGCCAGTCTCCAGACCTCAACCCCATAGAAAATCTGTGGCGGGAGTTGAAAGTCCGTGTTGCTCGGCGACAGCCCCAAAACATCACTGCTCTCGAGAAGATCTGCATGGAGGAATGGGCCAAAATACCAGCTACTGTGTGTGCAAACCTGGTAAAGACCTATAGTAAACGTTTGACCTCTGTTATTGCCAACAAAGGTTATGTTACAAAGTATTGAGTTGTATTTTTGTTATTGACCAAATACTTATTTTCCACCCTGATTTACGAATAAATTCTTTACAAATCCTACCATGTGGATTCATGGATTTTTTTTTCACATTCTGTCTCTCACAGTTGAAGTGTACCTCTGGTGCAAATTACTGACCTCTGTCATCATTTTAGGTGGGGGAACTTGCACAATCGGTGGCTGACTAAATACTTTTTTGCCCCACTGTACATAACTTTGAGTTATATATACATAATTATGGCTTAATTATGTTTTCTTAGCTTATTGCCTTTGTGCAATACAGCTAATCAATGACTTAATCGATGATGTTGTAAAATTCTTTCACACCTTTTTGCGATGGATTGTGAGTCTTATGAACTGCTACGTCACTGACATTCTGGTTTATTAGTTACATTTAAAGCAGGCCTTTGAAACACGATATTTAGTTCCCTAGTCTGCAGAGACACTCCATTCTTTGGGTCATCTATAATCTAGAAACATGCCAGTGAGTTTGTGAGCTTCATACTGACAGAAACCGTCTCCCCACAGGACTCTTCATCAACTTGCGGCACCTGTACAAGCAGAGAAGAAGACGATACCGCACAAGGAAAAGGAAAGTGCACTAACTGATCGACACCCTTGCCTTGCGCACACTTCAAAGCAGCTGGTTTTCTTTGTGTTTTTGTTTTGTTTTTGTTTGTTTGTTTGTTTGTTTGTTTTTTTTATCCTTTTATTTCCTGTTCTCATTTTCATCCGCACACACTAAGGTGATGTTGGAGCACTGGTCACATTTTTTTCTCCACTGTGTCAACTCTGTCCTGTACTGTAAACGCTTCTGTAGCAGACGGATGGATCACGGATGCTGAACAAACGTCTCCTGATGGCACCATATGTGCTGATCTTACTGCTGAGAGATTGACTTGTTTGTTGTCTGTATTTATTGAGTTTTCCACGCTAGAGGTGTCTTTATAAAGTAATGTTTTTGTTTGTTGATATTTTGGGACATAAATAAAAAAGTTTGTTTTTTTTATCACAAGAATGGAAATGAATAATGAGAATCTTTATAATTGTGATTTATGAATAGCGATTTAGTTCATAATTAGAAAAGATATTGTTAATGCATAATTAGGAACCAATTTAGGACCTCTTTTGTCTTTCGTGTATTTCACGTTATTTATAAAACTTTAATAATAATAATGTTACACTCAAAGTTGATCTTTAAATCATGTTTACTGGAGCTTTATGGTATTTTAAGCCACATATTAAAAGTCACACACCCTTTACCATCATATTTCTCCTTACATGTAAATGTATTTGAAAACTGATGCAGTTTGGATGCCGTTCTCTGCTCTGATCCAAGATACAACTTCTCTATTATGTCCATTCCAAAGTCTTCAAGGTTTTTGAAAGTTGTTTTCTGCTTCAGTTGTCGCAAGTACATGAATGAGTGAGAGTCTAAACATGGCGTGTCATGTCCGCTTGAACACAAACCACGGTGTGGACATGGCAATACTGTATCCAAAAAAGAGAGGTTTTGTGATTAGCAGTGTTTACCATGTTAATATGAACTCTCCACAAAAAGGTCAGCTGTGAGGTAAATGTTCCAGAAGTTAAGGTTAAGCTATAACACCACTTGAACTTTTAAAGCTGTTGTGTCAGATGCCTTTACAATAAAACGCTGTGGCTGCAAACTATGAACAGTTTTAGAGTTACTTTATTTTCTCCTCATTGGTTCCACGGTGCATTTGCAGCACTGAGCTTTGGATGGAGCTGTCAGTCACTCAGTGCTTTGAATATTAACAAAGTCATGCAAATGTTCTTAGCAGTTTGTTTGTTTTGGGAGTGATTCACAATCCTTCATACCAATCCTTGCGTTAGCTTCAACAGCAATGTGTGACAGTATGCATTTAGCTCATGATTTTCAAAGTTTGTTGGGGGTATTTTGGGGACAGGGGGATCTTCTCTCTGCATCTTCTCTTTTAGTCGCCCCAGATCCACTTGATTTCACTAACAGATCCTGCTCAGTGCATATAAAACATGTATGAAATATATAAATGATATGAGAAGGAGCTGTGCATGCCTTATTTTTTTGTCCCAGTGTTTCATCATTTCCTTAATTGTTCACTATTTCCCAGCCACTCTTTCTTTTGCATTTATTTGTTTGCTAACATTTTTGCCATTTCATTTGTGTTTTCATGTTCAATTTTTTTTATGTTTCTCTGTTTGTGAGTGGATGTCGTTTGTAAGATACGTATTGGGCATTCAACTTGATATGGAGTGCTTTGCATGTCTATGTTTTTTTTTTTTTTCTTTCTGTGTTTTCAGATGTTCTCATGCCGGCAAATTCAGGCCGGTGCTGGACCTTTTTATAAGTTTTGTTTCTTCACAGTGTTTTGGGAGGGGAAAGATGAAATAAACATTCTTATTTTGAAGATTCCTTTGTCATGTCACATTTTGGAGAGTATTTTGTGTTCTGACTTTCTTCAGGACATGCAGAGACTTGTTAATCCTTAACGGTTAAACTTCCTTTCCAGGTTAAAAAAAACGTGTTTTATTTTATATTTGGCCATATTGGTTGTTTCAACTTCCTTCCTGTACCTTTGAGACAAAATTCATCTGATTGTCCCCTTACAAACAGAACAGTTTGAACCATCAGTAGGGTTGTGGTAGACCCTGGTATCCAGTAAGGGTCCTGGCTAGACGCCTCCATGCTAAAAACCAAGCCCTGGAATGGCGCAGCTACGTCTGCAGCCTGTCTGCAGCTCAGACACGAGCATTTCACTACATGTTGTACTCTGTATGATTGTGTATGTGACAAATAAAGGTTGGTTGGTTGGTTGTTTGCTTCTGTGCTTCATCTTGAGAGCACAGGATATATGCTCTCACTGAGATCATACAGAGCCAATAGGAGAAAGAAAGAAATGTTGGAAAGTGTATTTAGAGCAGTGTAAAACCCAAGCTTTTGGCTCACATAGATTACTTTTGACATATGTTGAAAATTAGTCTGTGTTTAATATGAGCATCCACCATTGACAGTATACACTCACCGGGCAGGTATACTTGTAGTGTTGGGTACATCTTGCCAGTACTAGGTTTGACACACGTTTGCTTTCAGAACTGCTTTAATTCTTTGTGGTATAGATTCAACAAGGGTCTGGAAACATTCTCAGACATTTTGGTTCATATTGACATGACAGCATCTGCTGGCTGCACGTCCATCTTCAGTTCCACCACATCGCAAAGTTCTGTTGGACTGAGATTTGATGAGGCCACCTGAGTGCAATAAACTCAATGTCATATTCAAAAAACAGTTTGAGATTATTTCAGGCACGGTGGTTAGCACTGTTGCCGCACAGCAAGAAGGTCCTGAGTTCAATTCCACCATCAGTCCGGGGTCTTTCTGTGTGGAGTTTGCATGTTCTCCCCGTGTTTGCGTGGGTTCTCTCCGGGTACTCCGGCTTCCTCCCACCGTCCAAAGACATGCAGCTTGTGGGGATAGGTTAATTGGATAATTCAAATTGCCACTAGGTGTGAATGTGCGAGTGAATCTGAGTGTGATTGGTTGTCTGTCCCTATGTGTTAGCCCTGCGACAGACTGGCGACCTGTCCAGGGTGTACCCCGCCTTTCGCCCTATGACAGCTGGGATAGGCTCCAGCGCCCCCCGCGACCCTGAAAAGGATAAGCGGTAGCGAATGGATGGATGGATTATTTCAGTGTCAGCGTGTTATCCTTCTGGAAGCAGCCATCAGAAGATGGGCACACACGCTCAACAACAAAACTCAATAAGCCTGTGGTGTTTAATCGATGCTCATTCATGCCTACCATCTGTATGTCCCAGCAGAAATTGAGACTCATCACACCAGGAAACAATTTTCCAGTCTCCTGTTGTCTAATTTTGGTGAGCTTGTGGCAATTATTGCCTCAGTTTTCTGTTCTTAGCTGGCAGCAGTGGCACCCAGTGTGGCCTTTTGTTGCTTCAAGGTTCGCTGTTTTGTTTCTTCAGAGCTGCTCCTCTGCAAACATCATAATGAATGGTTATTTTATTCGTCATTGCCTATCAGCAAACAGCAACACAGTCCTTCTCCCCTGAACCCTACAAGGCATTTTCACCCAGAGAACTGCCCACTCAATTTTTTCCCATTTTTCAGACCATTCACTGTAAACCCTAGAGGTGGTTGTGTTCCCAGCAGATCAGCAATTTCTGAAATGCTCAGACCAGTCTGTCTGGTGTCAATAACCATGCCATGTTCAGAGTCACTGAAATCTCCTTTCTTCCCCATTCTGATTCTGACTTGACTGACTTGATGTCTGTATGCCCAAATGCAATGAGTTGCTGCTATGTGATTTTCTGGTGACATCTGTGTGTTAACGAGGAGCTGAACAAAAAGACAGAACAAAGTAATTGGTGTAATTTGTTAAAGTAACAAATCACGTCAGCAGACTCAGTAACAAAACCATGATGTTAAGATTATGAAAATTTATTCCAACTAAATTTAATTAAATGTTGTTTTAAAAAAAAATTTTGTTCATGTCTGTCAGTGTACAACATCACATAGTTTCTCTGTGTTTATACACGACTCTGCATTTAATCTTTGGTTATTATTCATCTCTGGGTCTCTTGCACAGTGTGTCTTTTGTCCTCTATACCCTAATCTTAAATTGGTTGCAGCAAATGGCCACCCCTCCCTTAGCCTGGTTATGCTGGAGGTTTCTTGATGTTAATGAGAGTTTTTCCTTCCCACTGTCGCCAACTGGATGCTCATAGGGGGTATTCTCTATATTATTGTAGGGTCTTTAACTTACAGTATAAAGCACCTTGAAGCAATTGTTGTGATTTGGTGCTATATAAACAATCTTCAATTTGTATTTACTTGTCCCATAAGGTTAAGAAAAACATAGCTTAAAAATTATTTCCAAACAACCTTTTGTTCCCTGAACAAATTTTCTGTTTTTTCTGAAGATCGTCCCAAACTGGACCACCTTCAGCTTCCCCTGCCTCCTGCTCCTGGATCAAAAGTGTCCTCACTATCCGGCCCCAATCAATCAAACTCAGCCTCTGCAAAAAAGATTTAAAGTACCTTCGCAAAACTACAGTATTAACAATTTGTAGATCATGTCAGAAGTTTTTATTAGTTACAATGAGCAGAGTATCACTGTGCATACTCTGTGTTGTCACAGTTGGTCTTCAAATCACTGTCCACTTGGTGTCATGTTTGCTAATTTAACAAGAAGGTGAATGACACTCATCCTTAACAACTACAATATAACGGGCCTAGAACAACTTAATATGACACAGCATGCTAAATATGTTAACTAACATCCACATGCTTTGCTAGTGGAAGCTCAGAGTATTCCAGCCATAGTACACTCATTAATTGCTCTTTGTTTTTGCTCTGCAGTTCTTCTTAATCATTTTTCGGATATGTTATAGTTGCATATATTATACTATGATCAGCTTGAAGGCTCACATTAATGCATTCCTACTAGTCCAACTGGATTAAGATGATGACGTCAGATGTATGGTTGCACTTACAACAATTAAAATGAGAATGGTGAAATTATCCTTTTAAGTGCTGTTTACCCGATCTGCGCAATAGTTCGTTGATTAAAAATTAAATTAAAAAGCATTTAAGCCAGCAGAAGTTAATAATATAATCATATTAAGCTTTATTAACTTCATCTGTTTAATTATTTTGAGCGTTTATTTGCAGTGTTTCATTCCAAGCAGATATTTATGTTTAGATAACGCTTTCTTCTTTGTGAGGCAAATAAGAATTTCACGTAATAATCGGTTTCTCTATCTAAAACACCTGACCACACCCTAAGTAGGACCCAGCTTCCTGTGCAAGTCCCTGAACGCCCCATTATTCTACATCAATTCAACAGGCAGCAGAGTGTCAGGATTCGCCTCAAAACTACACCTGCGAGCCCAGCAGCAGTTTGAATGTTGGCGTATTGATACAGCCTCATGTGTGAGAGGGAAGGTGAAAGGTGTTTGGCTGCTTATCCTCTTAGTAGCATTATGCTGAGCCTCGTACAACCCCTGCCATGCGGTGCGCCCTTGTAGTTCCCCAAAAACCGGAGTCAGCATCCCTGCGTCCGTTGCGCACAGCTGGAGGAGCAGTCCGCAGCGGCGCGGGGCCGAGCAGCCGGCCGCACAGGTAAGATCCGCGTCCGTGCTCTCTTCACACCGCTGCTTTCTGCAATTTATGCTCTTTTTGCTGATAGTGTGTAGATTAATGATGTACACCGACCTTGCATTATAATCCGGGCTGTCCTCAATTAAACCCCAACGCGCGTCTTTCACTCGCAGATTTCATGTTTTGTTTTTTGTTTTGTTTTTTTTAAAAAAAACATGTTGACGTTAATGCACATCTGGCAGTATTAATTATTAGTATTATTTCATTTACAGCACGCGCGGATTTCATCACGCTAATTTCTGTGCGCTCTTTAAGCCACAATCAGCAGGAATCTCAGTATTTACTGATTTTATTTAGACGGATCTCCTGTTTTTTCTCGCCGCTTTAACATGTTTGACGTGTTTTCAATAGACTCCTATTATGTGAGAAGCTAAAGCCTGAGTGATTATGTAGCCATAGTAACAGGTGGCTGTCTGCATCCTCTATCACCCTCAAATACACACATAGATACACGCGCGCACACACACACAAACACACTTTTCCTTAGTATATCTGCAAGTATGCAAGCAGAGGGGACATTATAAATACACACGTGTTCATGATGTGATTTTAAGCTGTAGGTATTTTCTGGTTTTCAGTCCTTCCACAGGTCAAAGCTGAAGATGAAACACACTTTGTGCGTACGTGTGCTTTTTTGTCTGCTGTTGGCTTCTTCATACCACATAAGAGCGCAGGCATGACTAAGGATTAGCAATGCATCTGACATAACTTCCTGTTTGGAGTCGAGACAATGAACGTATACTTGCCTCAGAGGAGGAGACTAAGGTGCAGCCGCATCCTCTTCTTTATCTCAGGTGTGCTGCTGTGTTTCGTCTACACCTTGACTTTGAAGGCCAGGCTGTCACAGCCACTAGCCTCTGCCCAGACGGATGATGGAGCGGAGGTGGGTAGCGATGAGCATGTGGAGGTCAGCATCCGGGAGTTGATAGCGTCTAATGAGACTGAGGAAACTAAAGCTACCCTGGTGAAAGTCGTCAACAGGACGGATATCGAACAGTGTATCTATGTAGATCCCCAGCCTCCCAAACCGCCACCAACTCCACCGCCACTGACCACCGCAACTCCACACTACCCCCCAACCCAGCCACCTCACAGGAAGGGTGACTACCCAGAGGACTTGTTCTCGATAGAGCAGCGTCAACAGGGCTGGGTGGCCCTGCACATTGTAGGGATGGTTTACATGTTTGTCGCCCTGGCCATCGTCTGCGATGAGTTCTTCGTCCCTGCGCTGGAAGTCATCACCAACAAGCTGGAGATCTCAGATGATGTGGCTGGGGCCACATTCATGGCAGCGGGAGGCTCTGCCCCTGAGCTCTTCACCTCCCTGATTGGGGTCTTCATCTCCCACAGCAACGTGGGTATCGGCACCATTGTGGGCTCAGCCGTCTTCAACATTCTCTTTGTGATCGGCATGTGTGCCATCTTCTCTCGGGAGATGCTGCACCTGACCTGGTGGCCTCTGTTCAGGGACGTGAATTTCTACATCCTGGACCTCATCATGCTTATCATCTTCTTCCTGGATAACATGATCCTGTGGTGGGAGAGCATCCTGCTGGTGCTGGGCTACATCAGCTATGTGAGCTTCATGAAATTCAACAGTCAGATCGAGCAGGCGGTCAAGACCCAGCTTAACAAACACATGAGCATCGTTAAGGTGTGGACCACAGAGGAGCCAGAGAAGGTCAGTAAAGGTCCCTTTTTTAAAACAGGTGTTCAATGGCTACAGTTTCCCCTTTTTTCTGTCTTTCTTTTAATTTCTTGGTCTGATTGATGAATTGTGTCTTGCCTAGAGGTGAAATCATTAATTCCTGAGCTAAAATAATTAATCAGTTGAATAGTTCATTAACAGATGATAATTACACAGTACATTGGTTGGTAATCATTTTTAATACAGAAAAGGCAGTGTGCGTGTGTGTGTGTGCTGCTTGGACTAGCTTACCTGCCATCAGGCTTCCAGGCTTTCTTGGTCACTTTGGTTTTTTGCTCTTTAAATTTAGACAAATGAACACTTGCTGTGACACTTTTATTGCACTTTCGGTCAAATTATATTCAACATGAGCAACTTGAGCATCTTCTTTTGTTCATGGCTTCACGCTCACTGTAAGGAGAGATGGGGGTTGAAAGCATGAAAGAAAGTAACATCCATAAATAACTGCACATTTCTACAAAGACTCACAATTCACTGAAATGAAACATGAAATTAGGTAAAATAAATAGAAGAAAGAAAAAAAAGATTAAAGGTTTGCCTTCAGACAGGCTTATGGAGTCAGTCACTGTGCAGAGGTACACTGCTACACTGGGTTTGGCTCTTTCATGAGATTTGTTGACATTAGGAGAGAGAATGAAGCGTTAACAGGTGTTAGAGTTATTTTTGCTTCAGCAATAAGAGAACAAAAGAATTTCTTTCATTCATCACGCATTTATCAAACATAAAAGGATGGATGCAGCCAAAACAGATATTTCTCTAAGCAGTTGTTACCAGAGATACTATCTATCCATTTATTTTCAGTATACACAGTATATTTTCTATCCTTTCATCTCCGCACAGTTGGGACTGCCGCCTGCTCGGACACACTGAAAGAGAGACAGTGATTTGTGGTTCTGAGCAGGTGAAAGACTGTATTTGTGTAAAATCCTTTGATGGTACTGAACAGAGAGGACTCCAGGTGTCATAGATGGGGCGTCACAGGGTGGAGTGATGCAAGTGTCAGTCTTTCTGTCAAAGCCCTGAAATACCACTATATAGAGACATCATTTCAATTACAATTTAAAAACAAAGGAATAAAAGGTTCATTTCCTGCAGGCTGAACAGCTCTCTGCTCCGCTGCTGCTGGGAGAGATCAGCAAATGTCTGAGGCCGTAATCAACATGCAGAACTGCATTACAATATCTCAAGGGCCCGCAGCAGATTCGCCAATTAGCCTGAAGCATGTCTGCAATCAGCATGTGCTTCAGTATTAACACCAAGTGCAGTGAGATGCGTTGCCACATTACTGGGTCAGAATTGCTGAAATTCAAAACCTCTTCACAGATTTCAGTACATGGTGTTCACATTTATATACATGCTCAACCATCATTTTTTTGTTCTTTTCATCAATAGAACACATTAATATCACCTGTTGCATACACAAACACATATATACATAGATTTGGGAGCTCAGTTTAGGAGCATTCATCGTGGAAGCTGTGTATCAGTAGGAATAATGCAGTTTTTGAAACTGGAGATTTAAAAAGGATCAGCCTCAAGGCTTAAGGGTTGTGACTTACTCTTCTGCTGATGGTGAAAAACTCATGCTGGCTGGACTTCTAACTAGATTAGGGGCTTACTACTGTCTTTTGTAAAGGATTAACCTGGAATTCTTGACCTGTCTCAAGACTACAGCTGGAACCATGTCAATTCATCACTTTGCATGTCTACTCCTATGACTGAGTTTAGACTGAGTTTCTACAGTACATTATAATACAATACAATGTTATTTATATAGCACATTTAAAAACCAGAGGTATGTCAAAGTGCTTCACAGAACCAATTAAGAGCAATAACACATACAAATACAGACCAATCAAATTGCCAAAGCAATCTCCACTGTTCATATGCTTGAATGTATACGTGTGAGGTAACTCGAACTACTGGTAACCTGAACTGCTGTTAAACTGCTTCACTATAGGAAAGTGAAGCACCACCACCTCCACCACCTGCTGCTGCTGCTCCAGCTGCTCCAGTTGCTGCGCCAAAAGTTGAAGAAAAATCCAAACCAGAACCTGTACAACCTCCAAGCAGCCCTCAAAGCAGCAAACTGCTGCCAGACTCACAAGATGACAAGACAAGACTCAAGGTTTGAAAAACAAACCTTTTGTTGGTTTAGACCATATGAAGGATTAACAAAGCCCCAGCTCTGAAAAATTAAATACAGTGAAATACTTAAATCTAGTCTTTCTATTGGCCAGTAGAGGGTGAACTCCCCAGTTGCAAAAAAGGATGTCCAGTTATATAGATGTCTGGCAAAACAACTCTAATGATCACTTTTTAAAGGACATCAGTAAGCACTTAAATGTTGAGTTTATGGTGTCAGTCATTATTTTCAGTTCTTACTGAATATAAAATGATGTTCAATTTGTAAATTATGGTTTAAATTACAGTCCAAAAAGATGACAAAACAGACTAGCTTTTTAGTGACCCCATGCTGTGAAAAAAAAGTCAATACCACATAAGCATGCAGTGTTCCTTGGCCACTCCATCACTTCAATCTGGCCTGGAAACACTAATATGGTAATGGGACAACTGGGTGATGCCACAATGGCCCTTAAAGCTTTTATATAAAACTTATGTTATTTGTTGGCTAAATCTCCAGTTAAACTGCAGTGTGACTTCCTTAATTTCAAAGCAAAAATTAATATTTACTTTCAGATGAATTAATGGAGGGATGCATCAGCTCATAATGGAATAAGATCGTAAAGGATCAGCAGATATTTTTATCTACACAGGGAGTGTAAGGCTCTTCCTGTTGTAGCTGTTGTAGTAGCATTTAAGTGTTAGATTTACTTTTAAAATCTTTAGGTTTGGTTTATTTTATATGTATATGTATTGTTAGCATACACACAAACTCTGATATAATAGCATAAGTTATTTAATAATTAATAACCCAGTGAACTTGTTACTTGAATTTACACAAATTAAAATTATCAGACTTACTTGGCCTGGCTTGCTACTATGGTAAGCTAGTTAGCTGGACATGCTAATGTTAGCATCTTGCGTTAAAGCAGAGAAACATGTTGGTTAATCTGTTCCTCACACTTTCATTGACTGTTTTTGGCCCTTCAACGTTTGAAACAAAAGTCAGAAGTCATCTGATGAGACAGTTTGTTATTTGATTTTTGGGGTAGATATCGAGGTCCATCAGGCACTAGTCCTTCTCTCCCTTTTGTTTTATTGTCCAATTCTTAAAGGTGTTTATCACAACGCAAGATAGTGACATTGGCAAAACAGCCTGTACATATTGTTACCTTTATTATTGTTTTCAGCAATAAAACTCTAGAGTGAGATGACAGTGTTAGCCTGTAACATTTGACAATAATTGTTACCCATTTCATGCCAGCCATTTTGGCATGTCAGTGTAGGGTACGCTCAGGTGTCATTTACAGTCCTGTTGTATTTAATGTTTTAAACCCATTCCATTTATGTGTAGTACCAGGACCCTGGTTCCTCTAACTGGATCATAGCCATAGTTGACGTTATTAATTATACCTGTTTTTCTCCTTGCAATACCTTGTCAAAATGGCTGCTCTAACAAAAGCAAAACACCTTTTTGATTCTCACTGGTCTGCACTGGTTAGTATTATTAAAGGTTCCCTAAGGTTAAATGCTTTAGTTCTGACTAGGTGCCTGTTGTCCTGTAGGTGCGTCCAGCCCTGCAGCGAGGAGGCAGCTCAGCCTCCCTACACAACACCTCGCTTCGGAGCACCATCTTCCAGCTGATGATTCATACGTTGGACCCTCTGGGAGAAGGTAACCAATGTTTTCTCGGGTGATAATATCACGTCTGCAGCAAAATTAGAAATTAAAAATGCACTATGCTCATTAAAAACTGGTGCAACATACATATTTGGGTCAACAACCAAATATGTATGTGTAAATGTCAAAGTTCTAACCTCATTATTTAGCTACAATTTGATCCTTAATTTTAAAGGACTTTCTGTGATGAAGTATTTTACCATTTTAACATAAGTAAACAAGATGCAAGATGTTGGAGACAGCAGGACCTCACTAATGATTACTTTCATTATCAGTTCCCTAATAAATTTGTCTGTAATTAGATTTAATATTTTTTCTTATTTCTGTACCTGATGCTGCATCTTCCATTCAGGAGTAGTTAAATTAATTAAAAAATAGTTAAATCTGCTTACAGCTTCTTTACAGTTTTCTTGACATTTATTAAAGGCCTATAAGCTTCTTATAAATGCTTAGAAGGCTTAAATAAATCATTATCATGCATAAGAAAAAAAAAAGGTGTAATTAAAAATAATAAATAAAAAAACAAGTGAAATCCTGTTGATCGATTAAATGTTCCAGCTTGTTGCAAAGTTGCCAGTGACTCAGCTGTATCCCTCCTGTCCCTTTCACTGAGTCAGTGTCGCGTGATGAACCGCAACGACCTTCAGTCTGTCCTCGAACTCACCGGTGTGCTGTTCCCTAACTCAAAGCACTGAGCCACTGTTGATCCTTAATCAGCTTTTCAATACAGGGTAATAAAAGCTGGATAAGAGCCAGCATGCTAGCAAGCCGAGCGCTTTATCTCTGTGGAAGCAGAGACCGGCTCCTTGCAGCTGGACTGCAGTACGCAACCCTAACCCTAAACATGAGTGATTTCCAGATAAATAAACCCGTGATTTTTTGCATACAGTTCATTTGTGGAGCAACTGGTTTCAGTGCAGCAAGTGTGCTGCAGTGTATTTCTGTATTTGTGCTGACAGCAGAAGAGAAGGCTTTGGTCCGACATAAAGGAATCTGACTTATCCGTTATTTCAGCTGATCTATGAGGTTTCATTCACTACATCAGAACAATGTGAAGTTACATCTTTCTAATTCAGAAACTTCTGCTGTATTAGGGAGTGGTATTTAATTGAGTTTTTTCATTCTTTTGTTAAATTTAAACAATATTAAGGACAGCGTTCCTGGAGGATTAAAAAGTTAAATTATAATAATTCCACAATAGTAATGCCACACAAAAAGTTACACATCAAAGAAGACGTTTTTGGACTGTCAGGTTGTAGCTAGACTTTCTTACTTTCCAGGATTTGACTTGAGTTTGTGGCTTCTAATGTTCCTCACAAGGCTGTCTGTTACAGTGTGGACAATGACTGCAGGGCATCTGATTTAAAGTATTCTTGCTAACAATGTCACCAAATTTGCAATGACAGAATTGGACAATGTAAGAAAACTTGACAAGCCATGGCAGTTGCATGGATCAAACTTCAGACCCTTAATCAACCTTTATGTATACCGATTACAATTATATTAGCAGAAGAGGAAAACCCATGAATGATGTCTTCTATTTTCTTAGCATAGTACAAGCAAGGTTCCCTCTAATTTTTCATGTGTCTGAGCGAACACACAAACTCCCTGAGCGGTCCCTTGGACCACTGTGAGCAACAGCAGACGTGTGCACTGTGGTCACGCCAGCATGGAATCCATCCAAGTCACATGGTTTATTAAAATAATCAAATTACAGCATTTACATTTATGTTAGACTACTTTTAATTAACTGCTTTAGCCCACTTACAATGAAAATGTAAAAAAATCTTGTTCATGACCTGTGTAGTATGTTAACACTATTGGAAGTAAAAAATAACTTGAACTCCAATTCTGAAAAAACAACTTTCTTCTTTTTTTTTTTTTTTTGTAAAGCTCTGACTTGTATTATTAGTATGAGTCTGTGGTCTGGGAGAGAGTCCTGTAACTCTGTCTGCAAAATACAGTATATAATGTTGGGCAATTAATTACATAGTTACTTCTTCAAAAAAAGTAACTGAGTTATGCAAACAACAAGTTTTTTGCAGCCGTTTACCTAAAAATGCAGCCAAAGCGTTTTTTTAAATAAACATTTCAAACTATTTACAGAACAATCAGCTGTTCTGCATCAAATTTGATGCAGTAAATATAAACCACGATAGTATTCAGGAAGAAAACCAAACATTGCACATATTTTTTTATCATAATTCTGGTTTAATGTGGCCTGTCAACACAATTTAAAAACTGGTATAAAGTCCACACTTTTTCCGTCAATTGTCCCGTTTGTCCTGCTCACATCTCCAATGGTTGTACACGTTGTCATTAACGTGGCTTCACTCCACATCAGCCACGCCACTTTGCTAGCTAAAACACCGTGCCAGCAGTGCGCAATTGCGCACGCGCGCAGCTTAGAGGGAACATTGAGTATAAGTACAGTATAATACTCTATATAATAATGTATATGTGTGTAAAACTGAAATAAAGTAGTGTATTGATTGATTATTAAGAATTTAATAAAATCCATGTATCTTTAGAATAGTTCAAACCAATAAAAAATGATACTTACTTTATGAATTACAAAAATAAATTGTAAAACACACACATTACATTTCCAAGTTTGCAGTCTTGCAAATTTTAGCCAATCTTTATGCGGTGTACTCAGCTGTAAAAGGAAAATGAATGTGACTCTAATTCTGACTTCTAAAATGCTCACAAGTTGCCAGTTATTTTGAGACCAGCTCAAACTGTTTTTTGATAAGCAGTTATGTGTGACAGCGTTTAACCTGAGCCTGTTACTACCATGCAGAGATATTATTTTTGTTACTATGAAACATTTACTGCACCATGAACCTGAAAACTGTCAGTCAAATTGAAATGGCCCTGAAGTTACAACCATGTCTGTGGTTTCCATCGTAGAAGCAGTTGTTAGAGGGGCCGTTAAAACCCCTGGCCCCAGAAAAGTCAGAAGAGGTAAGAGTTACAAAAAGTTGTTACCTGGTTTGAAGCGTTTGTTGTCTTTAATTTTTTTGTGTATTTGTTTGTGGATCAAACTTCAGATTTCCTGCTTAGTTGTGTTGCTTATCTATGTTTTGACGTCAAACTTTCTGGAACTCATCACAGTCACTCAACATGGGCATGTTAAACTTTTGGTCCTCATCTGTTAGCCTGGCTAATACAAACCTGACATACGAGACAATTCACCGCTGAACAGAATAATGTTTAGAACAACAGTGGGGCTCAAGGCCAGGGATGGATTAGCCACTGAGTTGGAGATGACTCCAGATGACTCCGACATATCATGTCAGCAGGTCCATCAAACCCAATCTAAGTTAGGCAGATACCACAGGAAACCACAGAGGTCATATCCAGGCTTCAGCAGGTCTCAGCTGTTTTAACCAATACCTATTCACACAGACAGTATGTGCATACCAAGAATATGTGGGTGTTTTTGTGTCGCGGTTTGGAGAATGAGCTAATTTTTCACCTTTGATGTCAAAAAGAAAAAAGTAATTAAGGAGTCAGACTGATAACATTGTGTTGTGAATGTCTGCCAATCAGAAACATCTTTTAATGGTGATGTTCGAGGGGAGGGGCCAGTACAGAGGAAAGGTAAGGTGAAAAACATCATTGCTGTTGTGTTGTTTCTGCACTAGTTGTTCTTGTGGTTGTTGTTGTTGACCGCTATGCATGCATTGGATGGTTGCATGTTTGTGTGTCCGTCAGAAAGCTGTGAGAATCGTTGACCTTTTGGCACACTCTGGCTGTTTGTAAAGAACATGACTAATTTACCTGTGGACTAGTGTCATTGGCTGATATTATGTATTAGACAATTTGCATATTATTGATCAAGAAACTGACCTCACAGCCCATTGTTGCTGGGTTCAGTCATTATGCAAATGTACTGTTTATAAGGTAGGGGAAACCCGCATTCAGCTGAAACTGAAGAAATCACTTGGATGAATGAGGAAACATTTCTCCCACTGAGAAAATGAACACAAACAACTTTTTGGGGTCCAATTAATAAAAATCACATTTATTGGACGCTGCAGTGTGTATCAATAAATACGTGGTTTGACAATCTTAGAATAGTTTCCAGGTTTTTCCAAGGGTAGCTGCATAGGCAAAGACTACCCTGACTAACTTCTGAAGCACACCCAGTCATTTTGGGGGGGCCTGAAATTTGACAGAAATTGCACAGTACAGAAGCTCCTTTGACTATGATGACCTGGATGACTGAGAACCTTCACAGACAGAAACAGAAAGGAGTTTCAAGGGTTACTTCTGGTAGGACTTATGAGCGCTGATGTTCCACCAGAGGGCACTCTTCAACTTCCATAACAGTATAAACCCAACAACCACATAAACCAGGCATGTGGAATGTAAACAATAAATTACAAACAAACAAAAAAATGTCCTTAAAGACTGGGAACATTGGAATGGTAAATAATCAGATATCTGTATTGGCCTGAAAAATCTTATCTTAGTCAGGCTCTAGAGTAGATAAAAGCTTGGTGGTGATAAACAGCTTCAAATGAGTCGTAAGTAAGGTTCACATTTTAGCATAGGTACCAGTAATTGTACCTGTTCTCACGTTTGCACTGGATTGGATTGGATCTTTACTCCTAAATGCTGGTCAGTGTGTGTTTATCAGGTCATGTTATTGTTAAAGCTGGTTGTAGAAGAACAGGCTTCACATGAGATTTGTTTGAGCAATGATTCTTTTAACTGCAGCGAAGAACCAAGTAAAGCCTATGAATGTCCCGGTGACGGGCAAACTGCAGAGCAAGTCCCATCACCACTGCAGCGAAGGTGAGTCGTTTGTGCGATGAAACGCCTTTCCTGAAAGCATACTTCCTGTGGGTGTGTTCCAGTGCCATCAGTATTTTGTTTGACTAAATGCATAGTTTTGTTACATGATTTCGAAACATAACCCGGATTTCCAACAACATCTGATTTATATGTTGAAGCGCTTGTATTTCTCTGGCCATTTTTACCCACAATCCTCTGTCATAACATTGCGTAATTTTGTATGGTAATGCAACAGTACAGAACACATATCAGTTATTTTTGGCATCTGTCTGAGAGGTACACTTGTGATGTGTGTTAGCCCAGTTTTGCATAAAGACTCAGAAAAAAAAAATCATATTTTAAATCACATGGGATAAAATTTAGTCTCAGTATGATGGTAAAAATCAAATATCAAAATATCTCCCTCTATAATCCATATTGTGTTTTTTGGTTTTGTTTTTTATGTATTTTGTACTCCATTGTATTGAAAATGACTTTAAATATGTTTTGGCATTAGGCTCAGTTTACTTTTCCCATTTTTTGTGCTATTAGCTCAAACGGGTGAAAGAATGGATCTTTCTAAAGAGCTTACAGAATATGAGCCTGGTGTTTTAATAGGGTACCTCCACAGCAAAAACTCTCTTTGTGAAATTTCTTCCCTCCTAGATATTCCACGATCAGCTGTAAGCAATACTATCTGCTTGTCAAGTGATAAAGTATAGACCCTGCTTCCAGGTCTTTAGATGGAAACCAGCACTCTAACTTACTGCTTCTGAGTCAATTAAACCTCATAAATCATCTTTTTCGGGGATGCCGTGATGTTAAACTTTATTGTAACAGCTGGGATAGCAGTGATGCTGATCATTTTTATTGAAGATAAAATCTCATTGTTGTCACAGTGTTTGTTTAGGAACCGAAGAAGAGTTTGAACCTGGAAATAGATGATGTAAAGTTACAGAGCGGGGTCATAAAGTGCATGTGTAAAAGTCACAAACACTCTGCTCATTCACTAACTTCAGAATTCCAAACCTCCTCTGGTATTAACATCAGCACAAACACTGTGCTCTGGGACCTTCATGGCTTTGGTTACTTGAGCTGAGCAGCTCCTGTAGGAGGAGCTGTGCATGAGACAAAGAAATTGGATTAAATTTATTCTCATCTTCTAATTTAAAAAGTTAATATCAGGCTGCATAAAAGGATCCAAAGGATGTTTAATTTGTAATTAATTGTGTGAATATTCAGATGAAGAAAGTTATTATTTTAACAGTTGTACTGTTGATTAATATTGTAGTGACTTGTGCTTTGACATTTATTGTGATATTGCGAGTGCACATATGCACATGGTCTTCTATCAGTAATCAGAGACAGTTTTGGGGTTGAAGGAGGTTGTTCTTCAGACTCAGTTAATATGTTTGTGCGTCATAGTGTGGAGTAAGGAGTTGCTTGACAGTCTGAGGTGCACAGCAAAGTGGGGCTGTGAGGAACCTGGAGAGGCCTCGACAAGACCGAATCAATGAGCCCTGAGGATTAACATGCATATGAGTGTGCATGTGACTCTCTTCCCCGCCTTTAGTAGAGCATGTTTATTGCCAGACACTCCAATCACTCCCACTGCCACTTCATACTGGCCTCTAGAGCAGAATAATTTGTCAGTGTAACATTAAATTTGTGATTTATCTTCGCTAAGTGTGAAATTAGCTGCAGTTCTCTAATATTTAGATACGTTTAAAAATAAGTGTGAGCGGAAGTTTTCCAAATTCTTTAATACAGCAAACTTGCTTGGAAATTCAAATTCACCTGAATTTTTAATCACCTAACTGCAAAGTACTTTAGCTGATATAAGGTGAGGAGTCATCAGTCTGAAGTGATGGATTTAAAATGTTGACCATAACACAAACCAGCAGGGTTATTACATCATCCAAAAGTGACTCTGTTCAGTTGTGTTCAGTTAGATATGGGGAAACACTGCTGCATACAAAGAACAAACTAACAGACATCTTTGCCCTTTCAAAATAAAATCAAAGGAAAAGTCAGAGTGGCAGGTAGACAAAGAAGACAGTGAAAAGGTAAAAGTAAAAGCATAAAGTCACTAAACATTTAAGTGAGGTTGATGTGTCCTGTTTGTAAAAAGATGCAGTGAAACTGTTTTATCTAAAATGGCTATGGGATATTTAAAATCTGCAGTGTTTGAAAAGCAGGTTAAAATTCATATTTTTATCTATATTACTCCGTGTGGTTTTCCTCTTTTTTAAGATCCAGATCAAAAGCCAAAGTCTGAGCAGCCAGCTGCTGCCGGTGCATCAGAGGGAGCAGCTACTGCTGAGCCGTCCACCTCACAGCCTCCAAAGGCAGAAGAGACAACTCAGGAAACATCTGACCGACCGGACGAATCGAAGGTACGAGATGATTTCAGCTCACTGTGCAGTTTGCCACAGAAGTGAGGAAAGTGGAGATTTTAACAACTTTGATCCTATAGTTTTAAAAGTCGTGATAATACACGTCCCATCTTAATATGAACACACATGTTTCTTTAGCTGTTGTCATGTTGCCAAAAGAAACTAGTTAAGTTGTCAAGGAAACTGATGAAAACCTAGCAGCATCTGTATCCTCCATGCGAATTGCGAAGCACTGGAATGCAGTCAGATGTTAATTGCAATGTGAAGCCTGGGAAATAACAGGCGTGATGAGCATGTGAAGATGGCATTACTGTCTCCCTAGATTTGAATAGATTAGCTTCAAATTCATATTTCTGCTTCTTTATCTTTTCAACAGACCTGGAGACAGAAAGCTATGACTTTAACTATGTTTCTTACTTGATTTTGAATCTTCAGATTTTAAATTGGCCTCTAATTATTCCTGGCATAATGTATTTTGAAAATGCACCCAAGGAATATACTTAAGTACATGGTGTATTAGTAAAATTGAAGGAAAGATGGTAAGACCATTGGCTTCAATCTGCACATTTTCAAACTAATTTAAGAGGTTTTGGCTTGCTTCATATTTGTTTCTGGTATGTGTTCTTCTTTCCTAACATATTACATTTTGTTTATGTGGTACAGTTCAAAATAAAGCTTGAAAATGACAAGAATGTATAATCTTTAACAAACACATCAATTGAGAAATGAAGGTAACCGTTAACACCCACACAAGTTGCTTTCTGTCAGTTTAGTGTCACCTCAGTTTTCTGGCATACTGACCTCAGATCACACTTTGCATGGAGGCCTGTATATATCAGCTGCCAGCACTTTTTGAAAACCACATCGCCAAAGCCAGAAGCTGTGAACAAGGCTGTGAGGAGGTTGGATAACATGCAGCGTTGAAGAATGATGGAGGGCCTAACACAAGCACACTAGCTTATACTTTTTGTTAATTTATTGTTCATGTATACATAAAAAATTTAAAAAGGAGTGGCAGTAATGTTGCAGAATATTAACAAAGTATTATAGTAAGATATTAACAAATAACAAAGTAAGATATACTTAATCTATCCTAAAAGTTGGGAAATTACTGTGTTATAAGCAAACTAACACTACAAACTAAAAGAACCTCGCTCAGTGAAGTAAATACAATATCACAAAGCAAAATAGCTCACAAAGGTAAAAAGAAAAGACGCAAAATAAAAATAGAGCTAATTTAACTAGAAGAAAAAAAGTGAAGAGCTAAGATAATAAGGGGGGCTTAATAAGTAAAGCTCTGACAATATAGGGATATTTCAAATACACAATTCAGGCCACAGAAATGTTCCTTCTCTGTAACATGTCCAGGATTATGCTGCTGTAACTGGTGCAGTCCCTTCACATTTCTTGTTACCACTCAGAGTAACGTCTCTGTCGCCCAAAAATACTGAAACCATGTACGGTCACAGTGGGGTCTGGAAAATGTGAGTGTGTCAATATCTTGCTGCAGCACTCCAGGATACACATCAACTGTGAGCTCACATTTGCCATGATGATCACTGGAAGAGCTCCAGAGCTGAAACCCTGTCTTATCCTCCAGGACTGTTGTGCTCAGGAGATAGATCTGTCAGTACCATCAGCTGGTGAAAGGTCTCCATTGCTCAATCTCATTAGAAAATAAACCAGTAGTAGACTGGTAGTAGAAGTAGACTCATCCAAGACTGGACGTTTCAAGACTTTCAAAACAAAAAGTCACAAGTTCATACACATAAATAACAGTGAAGTCCTCAAATAATAAAAAAACCCAGCTAATTTGTGAAACGTACCTAAAAAATTTCTCATGTAAAATCATCAATTCACCAAGACCTAAACCAGCCTTGAAATATTAAATACTAAATAATAAATCTAATGCATCTTTTATGTGGTTCCCGCTTCGTTGTGTGCAGTGAGTCAGGGGGTTTGACTCACTCTGTTCCTTCTCCTACAGGCAGCAGCAGCAGCAGCATCAGCAGGTGGATCAGGGGGCTCTGAGGGCAGCGCTGAGGATGAGAGTGGTGACGAAGAAAGCAGCGACTCGAGCGAGAGTGAAGATGATGGCGACAATGAAGACAAGGAGGAAGAAGAAAAGGAGGAAGAAGAGGAGGAGGAGAACCAACCATTGTCTTTAGGGTGGCCTGAAACCAGGCGCAAGCAGACGACATATCTGTTCCTGCTGCCCATCGTGTTCCCGCTGTGGCTCACCCTGCCTGATGTCCGCAACCTGGTGAACAGCCCTCATCATCATTATCATTATGACCTATGACCTTAAAGCTTTACATACTAAAATGATGTATTTTATTATCTTTACCCATGTGATTGGAACAGAATTGGCTGAAAACTTGGCTTCTGTAAGCTGTACAAACTTGATAGTTTAAGACATATTCATGCAATATGTGATTTTGACCGTGGGCACTAACAATAATGGTCAAGGTGAAATGCTTAGCTAACCTACAGGTCATATAAAGTTTTTACTGATTTTCACATTTGGTGTTACTTTGATCTGATTTTCACCAAAATTAATTCATCTTGAGCTGTTTTTGGTATCTACCGACACACAAAACTTGAAAATATCTAGAAAACTGTGAATGCTAACAGACAGACAGAACCGACTGCAGTGAGTGAATTGTATGGATCAGATGCTATCATTTACAATGGATTACATTGGATTAATTTTTTATTTTTTGTAGTTTCAGGATCTAAGTCTCTGTTCCCAGGTGTCATAATGTTTTTGAACATGTAATGTGAATGGCTCTGGTGCTTTTCAGGCATCCAGGAGATACTTTGCCATCACCTTCATAGGCTCCATCATCTGGATTGGTGCTTTCTCCTACCTGATGGTGTGGTGGGCTCATCAGGTTGGTGGAGTCTTAACACATGTTATGTTGGTCTTTTATTCACACTGATAAGGACCCTGGCAGACTACTTTCCTACATGTCTCAGAGTAGTCGGCCCTGAGTGATGTCAATGATACTTTCAGGTGATGCTTCTGCAGTTAGTGCGGTTAGTTTAACATAAAGATAGTGAGAGCATAACATAGAGACAGTGAGACTGTCCTAGTTTTATAGAAAGTTTTGTCTTTTGTCTCGTTTTACCTTGTGCAAGAAAAAAAACATAATTTTGCCCAATTTCTCCTTAAAGGTCATCTCATTGTGCTTGCACCGCAGTTGAGGTCTGGGCTATGAAAGTTCTCGCTCTTCTGGACATTATAGTGGAATTTACAGCCTGATCCTCAGGCATGAATGCACAGTGCACAACCCCATGATTTTTAAAAATTGGATTTAATTGGGAGATTATGGGCTTTTCCATAATGCTGTTTGTTCTCTGGGTTCTGGCCTCTTGAAATGGCAGCCTCAGAATAAAAATGGACAAAATGAGACTTCCGGTGAGTGTTTTTGTTTTTGTTTTTTTAAAGCAGCATTACTACAAGAGGTCCCGGGGTGCACAGAAAGACAACCTTGGAGAGAGACTCCTCTCCCAGTGTACTTCAGACCCAGCCACACACTGAGACGAAAACTGGTTTATCCCAAAGACAAACTCCCAAACACAAACTTAACAATGTAGTGTATGCTGTACAGTATAGCGAGGAATGCTCAGACCTCTACATTGGAGAGACCAAACAATCACTTCCTACACACATGGCACAACATAGAAGAGCCACTTTGACGGGACAAGACTCAGCGGTTCATCTCCATCTAAATGGCAAAGGTCACTCTTTCGTGGATGCCAATGTTCACATTTTGGACAGAGAAGACAGATGGTTTGAAAGAGGAGGGAAAGAAGCCATTTATGTCCACATGTCTTTAAGGAAACTTAAAGAAGTCCAGATGCTTTTCTTTCCAAGCTCCTTAGACTATGATGACCTGGATGACTGAGAACCTTCACAGACATACTTGGAGAGAGACTATTTAGGTTTTTCTGTAATTTGAGTTTTATTTAGTCTTTGTTGGAGGAAAAATGAAGAAAACAAATGAATAATGTAGAGTAATGTTAACTAGTTAATTAGTCACCGATTTGGGCACACGGTTTAAAATTTTGGTCTCACTTTGTGGCACTTGGGCAGTTTTACCAACCAACTACAGCCAGGTTGGGGATACTCGTTCTGACACTTGTTTTTATCTTTTACTGTTTGCAGGTGGGTGAAACTGTGGGCATCTCAGAGGAGATCATGGGACTGACCATCTTAGCAGCTGGGACATCTATCCCTGACCTGATCACCAGTGTGATTGTGGCCCGGAAGGGTTTGGGTGACATGGCAGTGTCCAGCTCAGTGGGGAGTAACATCTTTGACATCACTGTAGGGTGAGTCACTCTTAATTCCATTCAGTTTTATTTACATAGCGCCAAACCACAACTATCGCCTAAGGCGCTTTATATTGTAAGGTATTGACCCTACAATAATATGGAGAAAGCCCCCAGAATCCATTGTGTCTAGAATAAAGCATTAATTTATCCACCATTGTACCTGTACTTCAGTCAACAATTGCATCATTGTTGTAAACAAATAAACCAATATTGTACTCACTATCAAAAAGTTACAAGAAGCTATGCTAAAATAGGCCAAAATATATTTTGTCTGCTACATAAGATGTAGCAGACGGGGTACGAAGGTGTGATGGTAAATAGCTTGATTTCTGCTTCTGTTCTGTTTGGTTTTAGTCTGCCGATCCCTTGGTTGATATACACCCTGCTCCACAACGGTGAGCCAGTTATGGTCAGCTCCAATGGCCTGTTCTGCGCCATTGTGCTGCTCTTCCTGATGCTCCTCTTTGTCATCATCTCCATCGCCGCCTGTCGGTGGAAGATGAGCCGAAAGTTGGGCCTCACCATGTTCGTACTGTACTTTGTGTTCCTCGTCCTGAGTGTTCTGCTGGAGGATCGTGTCCTCATCTGCCCTGTTTCCATCTGAGGGAAACGGCACCGTCACACAAGACTTGGTACATCCACACACGAATGATACTGTAATATAGGATCTGTTAGAGAAAAGAACTGAGCCTAATGTTAAAAGGCTGATCAGGCACACACTAGATGCTAAATTAAAGGAAAATTCTACGCTTAATGTGGTTTTACATATTTAATCTGACATTTAATGACATTTAATCAACATTTTCCAGCAGCTCCAGTCTCATAGTAAAGTCTTACCCTCCACCTTTTTAACTGAGTGTCTAAGCTCTGTGAAATATATTCAACATATAGTGCAAAGAGATGTACACTCAATGAAATAAGGGCTAGGATGTTACTGTCTTTGGTATGAAATACAATGAGATATCCAACCGTGGCCTCTGTTGGCAGGAACAAAGACTGCCACTAGGCTCCTACTGCTTTAGTATGAGTAGTGGGATTAAACAGCAGGCAGGGGTACATTGAAATGTTAGTAGAAGAGATTGGAAAATGTGAAGCTTAAATCATGGCTTTCAAGTTTGGAGGGTGTGTTTGGTATTGGACATGTGGCTTGCAGGATTTGATCCATTTGTGCACATGTTCAGCCGGTAATCAGCAATCTGACTTTATTGCCCACAAAGAAGTGATTATTTCTAACATATTGTTTAATAGTTACCAATAGGAGTCCACTGGGAGTGCACTGAAGCAAGCCCGACTACTGTGTGTCCATATTTCCAACATTTCCAACAGTTTTTTAATGAAAAACGGGAAAACGATTAGACTTAGCCGCTTAGTCTGCAGGCGCGTGATTAGAAAGCTAAGTGGTCACAACTATTTTTCTTTGTGGTTTAAAAGCAACTACCATTGCAACTATCATTTTCAAAGTTCATTACTAGCCATACTGTGCAACATGGATTTAATCAACTTAAGAGACACATTTGATTAGTGTAGATTGTACACTGGATGATGTTACCTGCCGAATCTTGGCCAAGATGAATGGCTGGTATTTCTCATGTGTGTGTTTCCATACTAGATCCTCATTTGTGCGGTCACAATATCAGCTGAGAGAAATTATCTTTAGTTTTTCTCAAGTACTGGTGTCAGCACATCATTTCATGTTGCACTCCTAACAATAGTAGGTGATAAAGGATATAACAGCAGCGGTGAGATGGCTGTCTTTGATTTCAAAACCATTACAACAGCCAACTTTGAACCTCTTTCACAGTGGGCTATAGAATCACCAGTTTGGAGCCATGACCAAATTAAGAATAGTTTTACCCCAAGAATCCTCTTCAAATGCAAAAAGTGCAACAGTTTTGTATAGTAGTGAAACACATTTACCTAACACATGAAAGATCACAGGTCAAGACCAGGAGAAGTCACAAATCCTGAAGTCCAACACACAGATCCATCTGCTGTAGCGACCTGCTGTGAATGAGGGAGTAGCTGGAAGAAGCATAATTAAAAACTTCTTATCGCGGGAGCAATGACTGTAAAATATCAATACAGTAATGCACACAAGACGAGAGATGTCAGAATAAATCAGGAAATAACTAACGCTAAGACCAGGACTAAGATATATAAACTTGACAGAACACGACGGGGATGACAGAAAGAGGTAAACTAGAATACAAGCAGACTGCAATCAGGATATAATACATGACGAATGAAAATAAGATCCTAAAGAGCCAAACATAAACACAAGAGGCCCTCAAAAGACACAAGGAACAAAATTCGAAAATGTAGGTTCACGATACTCCCCCAGCTCTCTCCCAGTCTAGAACTAGAACTATATATATATATTAGGGGTGCAACGATACTCGTATCGATATTGAACCGTTCGATACAGTGCTTTCGGTTCGGTACGCATATGTATCGAACAATACAAAATTTTTAATTTATTTCATCAACTTTCCTTCTGACGATGCTGTCTGTGTTGAGCGCTCAGTGGATCTGCGCTCGACAGTGCAGCCTAGGCAGAGTAGTCGAACGCAGATTCACTGAGCGCAGCGCAAGCTAGCGAGACAGACGTTAAGCTCTCCTTGCAACATGGCAAATTGAACTTCCCCCACCCTAATTCAGATCTGGCGTTTGGAACTATTTTGGTTTTCATGTGACGTATGACCCTGAAGGTAAGCGCGTCATGGACAAAAGTAAAACAGTATGTTGGATGTGCCATGCAATGCTCAATTACATTGGTGGGAACTAGTGTGTTAGCGCAGTAAGCTCGTTAACATGTTGGTTGTCCAGTCCCACGGTAGCTCGTTAACGGAGATTTGCCGTGTTGTGGCGTTAACGTCATTTCAACGAGATTAACGCTGACAGCACTAGTGGGAACACAAAGAATATGACTGCACATTTACTCCGACATCATCCTAGTGCAAAGACAAGTGGAAGCAGACAAAAACAACAAGCACGCATGCTACAAACTTTACCAGAGTCATTTAGACAGCCGTTAGCACATGATTCTCCTTATGGGGACCTGATATGTTTAATATGCTGCTGAGAATATAGCCCAGAAGAAGCGTATAGTATAGCTTTTATTTTGGAAAGAGCCATTTCTCTGTAATAAACTCTTTTCCAAAGATGAGTGGCGATCAGATAGATTTATTATTTTATCCCTTTATTGTTTCAGCAACATTACATTTAAAAACTGTACGTTTGAGTTAAAATATATATTTATAATTTTAATAAATGACAAATTAAAAAGGCATGAACATTTTTTGTGTATTGAAAAAATATCGAACCGTGACACCAAAGTATCGAACCGAACCGTGAATTTTGTGTATCGTTGCACCCCTAATATATATACTGTACTATATATATCTTGAGAGATATGTCTGCCAGTACATATATACTGGCAGAGGCCAGGAAACAGTCATTTCTTTACTGTGGCAACAACACTTACGAAATATACAGACTGTGTATATTTGTCCAACACAGCAAGTATAAAACTTAGCTGTAGCTGCTGGAAGTATCTGAAAATGACACCACGCTGCTTAATTATTGTCAACAAACATGAAGCAATCATAATACATCCCCATTCTGTTAACAGATTTTCTTTAGTTAGTTTTTTTTTTTTTTTTTTGGTGTTGGTGGAATTTTCCTTTAATAAGCAAATGCTTATGGGTAGTCTCTGAGCTGACAGCATTAGGTCATTTAAAAACATTACACCCACTCTAGTAGTATTGGTATGGACTGACCTTGCAGGAAATCAGTCACTGGATGCAACTTCAGTTTTGTATGTTTAGTATTTCTGGAACTATCATCCCTAACACCCTGTTCTGTAACTTTAACTTGACAAGTATTTGTTCATGTTTAGTGTTAAAAAGAGTTTTTGTGTCACTTAACTGTGGTGGAGAGAGTCAGTTGTGTGTGTGTGTGTGTGTGTGTGTGTGTGTGTGTGTGTGTGTGTGTATCAGGAAGACACGCATCAGACTGTCTTAGCTGTGAGAAAACCTGACCCGTGTGATGTTTTCAGATGTTCCTGTTGTGCTCTTGTTGGATTGAAGTGGATGCAAACATGGATTATTGATAATGAAAACTATCAATATTTCAAATTAAAATTCCATGCTGCAATAAATTATTTTTTTAACAGTGAACTGGAACAGTGTGCGGTGTTTTGGGGAACTGGAAAAGAATATGCTGTTCTTTTAATCTAAAACGATATATGGTTACACTGGTTCTACCAGAAAGTATTTCCTCTTCCTTTGTCTTCTTTAATAAAAAGTATTTAATTAAATGTACATTATACTGACTAAGTATAAAAATTGATGGTATGTCTGTTTCCCAGAAGTGATGCTGGAATTTCCACTTGTAAGTGGTTGCATAGTAGATTATAACGCCCACTCCAAACACAAATATGCAGATTAAACTACAATTAAACTGTGTGATGTTTATGCTAATAGCTAGCAAGCTAAGAGTGCAACAAATCTATGTCACGTTGTTTGCAGGTATGTGTGCGCAAAACCTCAGTATAAGGGAAAGACCTTGCTGATGGATTTATGGGTTCACTGCAGTTTTGATTCATACTGAATAAAACATCTTCAACTAATAAAGATGGCGCCTGTTAAGACTGCAGACAGGAGGAAAAACCAGGCTAACAGTTTAACAATGACAAGTCATTAGTCGGTTTGTTAGCCAAATGTTAGCTTTTCTTGAAACAAAATGACATTTGCGTTAACTTTTCTTACAGGCAACACAATTTGGCCATTTAAAGCTAGCATTCTGCTAGCGCATGCTGATGGCTGATTAACTTAAAAATATGACGTAGCACTCATTTCAACACGATAAGTCAATGTATTCTTTTTTGTCCAGTCTTAGGCTTCAGCAGCCCCATTCATTATGGGTTGTCTTGCAGGTCCCTCCTGAAAGCTGATGTCTAAAGTGTGACAGTTCTTAAGCATTTAGAAGTTCTTTGACTCTACAGTCACATAAGGGGAAACTGGTTAGAGACCACAGCACAACCAGAATTTTTTTTAGCAAACATGTGCAATGGGCGATGAACTACACAGACTGACTCAGACTCAGCGTGAGACCGTGACTGTTTGCAGACAGGTTGCCTCTCGCCAGCGACCCGTGCCGTCGTCTTGTGATTGCGTTGAGAATTCAATCCAGTCATTGGGAATCTTCCTCCTACTCACAATTGACTGATTTAAACATTAAATACATTTAAACTAAATATTTTAAGAAGAAGATGCTACAGACAGCAACATTGAGGGTTTACATGATTTTATTTACACTTAAACAGTCCTGTAGATCTGGTTGCTGTACAGAACGTCAGAACTTCACCACTTCTAAAAGGACCTTTGCACATGTGTGAATACACTGTTATAAAATGTGATTTATACAAAGGGCAATTCAAATGTACATGGCCCAGAATCTGCAAAATCATTTATTTTTACAGTACTATTGTTTTTTTAAACACAACAGAAATCCACAAATGAATCACAGCCTTTCTAAGCTCATGTGTCATCTCCCAAATCAAAATTCACCAGTTAAAGAGATTTCCACACCTAAAGGTTTGGGTTTTTTTTCAGGGACAAAGACGTGCAACTTGTTAAACTTTTCCAGTTTTGCTTAGCCATGCCACAAATTAAAGACTTGGCTGATATTCATAGGACCTTGGTGATTTCAGAGTCAGGGGTCCTCCTTCAACCACTCTGCCTTTCAAAGCTGGATTAATATCCTCACTCTGGCAGTAACAAATATAAGCGACAGAGGCAATGCACTCCAGGGTCCGTTTGATTTTCTCCAACATAACATCATACGGTCTCTAGAACTTAAATAACCCCATAAGGGTTTTAAAAAATTAAAATATGAACTTTATATTCAAATTAAAAGTGAAGTAGGCTCTTTGCAAAGTTGAACTCTGTTATCTTTACACCTGTCCAAAAGTTAAATCTTTAGCAAATTCAATGGTGGATACAGACCTCAGGGTGTAAACATCTCCAGGTATCAAGCTTTTCATAAATCCTACTTTTTATAATAAAGTCCTCTTTTACTGTTTGTTTATGCTAGCTGAAATAAGAATTCTTAATTTAGCTTTAGTCTGATACAACACTAATAAAACTGGCTGGATGTTGCCAGAATGAAAAATGTAAACCTTTTCTCCACATATGTTCCCAAAAGATTCTGGCATCCTGGCTGCTCGGTGGCAGGTGACAACTTGCATCCATAGACAAGCAAAGAAGAGACAACACAAAACACAGGAGCCACCTTGAGGTCCAAGACATTAAAATGATTTGGATTATTGTATTAAACCGATATGGAAGCGGAAGGCAATGAGATTAAAGTCATTTGATTCAGCCACAGGCTTAACTGGCTGCATGTGCAATAAACACTCAGATATGCTGTTATTAAATGAAAGGTGGGACTTTACAGTTTGTACCATTAACACAAAGCTCTTTTATTAACCTCCGCTAAGACTCATTGATATCTTTATAGTTGGATAATTGTTACCAACAAATCAAAACTTCACTTTGGTTTTCCCTCCAGATAAAGTTATTTAGGTCACATAGATCAATTGATATTGTATGTTGATATTGTAAGGGTGATTGTTCACGCTATTTATCCCACACTCCACCCACAATCCTTGACAGCACCGCACTGCTAGTTAACAGCACCGGGTTCCTGGGCTTACAGATACCACCTTCCTCATCAAAAGGTAGACAGCAGCGCTTGCGCTTCCTGAAGCGGTCAAGAAGAGCAATCAGACTCCCTTCTGCCCTCAACACTTCCCACAGAAGCACTACAGAGAGCAACGTCTCAGAGCAAACTTCAGAGAATGGTGAAGACACCAGGTCAGGTCGCCAGGTCTCCTCTCTCACGCCCACAGGACCACACACCAAATCCTGCCTGCACAGAGCTGCTGACATGCAAACCGTTTACCATCTTGCCCTCTAAAAAACGCTATCGCAGCATTAGAGTCCTGAACTCTCTTTAAATACACACTATCACACACCAATCCAAGAACTGTTGTATATGCAAACTCTCACACAAAACGTCTCTGCAACTGCTGCTAATTTGTGCAATATTTTCAGTGTCTGCATAACATGAGCACCTATGTTTTTAATATTCATCAGTACAAAGATTCACATATAGTGCCTAAGTTTCTGCTGTGCAATATTTGTAGATTTTGATCTTAGCTGGGTATTCATGTATAATTACTATGATTATAGTGCATGGTGTTCTAGAAGAAACACAGTTTTGTCCCACTATGCAGTCCTTGTGTGGCCAGCATGACAAATAAAGTTTAGTTTGACTTTAAATTTCAGTCTGCTGTTATCATCACGAATTAAAGAAATAACTGTGAATAACAAAAAAACGGCATAAAAGGTTCAGTATTATTATTGTTGTTATTATTATTGTTATTATTATTGTTATTATGGCTGACTGTGTATATGTTTGCCATTTAAAATATTTAATTTGAACTAATTCATGCTGTGAACTCTTACAACCCCAAATTCATCTCTCGATTTGGGTTAGACCACGAAAATGAATGTAAACAAATGTGACGCACTCATGTGTAACTCATTCCAGTGGCGGATGTGTTGGCTATTATTTTTACAGCCTTTGAACATCAAGTCAAGTTTCAAAGTAAAAAAACAATGGTTTGGCTGACATGTTATCTTTTTTTGTGGTTGAGGTGAAGGTGGAGGTGTTACACATGCCTCACTGCTCCATCTATCATAGATTGTCTGCCATCCCTGTTAACCGCTCTGATTGAGCTTTAATGCTGATTGGCTGCAGAAGACTCACCTGTCCGCAATCTGCCCTCTTCCTCACCGCTACGTGGCTTCCTATAGGGCCGGTAACACCTCTGTAACACTGATATGTACTCTGACAACAAACACCCCGCTGAAGAAGACTAAAAGTGGTACTTTTCATGGGGATGAATAGCTTAAAGCTCAGAAATCGTTTTTTGTAAACAAACCCCAAACATACCATTTTCTCTGACAAGTGAAAAAAAATACACTTGATCTGGTAATAAGGACATATGCTCTTCAGTACAAGAAAAGATTAACGTGATCAGCATTCATCTCTCCCTGAGAGGATCAGGGTCATAACATTCGCTGATTTAAAGTAATGAACATGATTGTTTTTTTACAATGAAATGTCCTGTTTAATCTGAACTGGTGTGAATGAGTGTGCAAGAATGCAATTTATGATAAGGTCTTTTACTCTGTCACTGTGACGTGTTTCTGCTGTTTATTTTTATGAAAAAACTATTTTGTAACTCTGATGTTTATGGCTTAAACAGTGAAAAACAAATGCTTTGTAAATGCAGGATCATGCTTTTTCCCTGTGTTTCAGAGAAGGGAAGGTTGATCATTTTTCCCAGCTTGGTCTTTAGTCATAAATACAGGACACTTTATATCAGATTCATTTGATTTTGTTTGCCTCACTGGCCTCTCAGGGCTTCTGTAAACCACCGTGTTGGCTTTACGTTCCTTCACTTTTCGCTGACAACTAGAAAGCCTGTAGATATATGCAATCTGTCTTCAAAATTGATGCAGATCTAATTAAAAAAGTTCCATGTCATAAAGCATAGAAAGCTCACTGAAAACACACACCAAACATGTACTGCATCTTTTCCACACTGAGCGAAAACATTTTTCCTGGTTTAAAACTGCAAGACGAGAAGACGGCCAGCGACCACAGGTCAAAGTCAAACACTGCACATAACAAAAGGACGGTACAATACATAAGCTGACTTTGTATAAATAAAGTTCCAGTTAAAATATTGCTAATATTAGTCTTCATATGATGAAATGATATACAATAAGAATGGTACATTAAAAAAATCCTTTCCTGTTTTGTATTTACAGGATATCTGCATCACTGTCACTCATTCCCAATGTAAGCTGTTGCGGCTCACTCGACACTGCATGGAGAGGAGTTTATGAACGCTGCATGTAGTGTTTCTGTCCTCATATATAGAAGTCTCTAAAACTTCAGGCTACATAATGCTGTCCACAGTCACCTGTACCCCTATGAGCGCTTACAGAGTTCCCCCAAACATTCCCGTAGTGCACATTCGTGGTCTTCCAACTGGTTTCCTGAGCTAGTCTTAAAGCAACAATGAGGATAATGAGAGTTAATCATGGTGTGTTTAGGTGACTCTTTACAAGTAAGGCTCTCCAAAAGTCCTGCGACACTCCATGACACCTGTGCTCGGAGGACGGTCACAGTTGTGGGTCAGCTTCACCAGGTTGGGTGTAAGGCGATCGTACGCCAACTTGTACTCACGGTCGAAGGCGTCTGTGGGAAGAGGAGAGATCGGCAGCCAAATAACATGTGGGTGGAGATTTTTTCTTAAAACATTTAAACATGCCAATCAGTTCATTAAGGCTACATGTAACTGGTGCATGCACTCATTTACTCTTTTATCTCTTTGAGGACACAATGAGGACTGGCTGAGCAAAACGGAGCCGACATTGGACTTGGAAACAAAACTCAAAAAAATCTTTAAAGTTCTAAAAATCTAATAAATAGCTCGCTAATACAATTGCTGTGAAGAGCAGTGATGCTGCATATACAGTTAGGTTCATTTATAGCTTATTAATACTTCCCCCAAAGTTCAGGTTTAAATGAATTCATGCTGTTTTATGAATTTTACAATAGAGTTAATCAAATGAATTATTGACACACACATACGTATGTTATGTAAGAAACACTCTTTTAAAACATACACATCCAAGACATAAACTTAATACTCACCAATATCAATGTTATCTTTTCCCAGAGCCACCAAGGACAGGAAGAGGATGTCCCTGTACAAACTCCTGAGGAAGAAAGGCGAGGTCACATGCGATCAGTATAAATGGCAGATGAGTGCTTTAAACGTGTATATTTGAATCACTTTTTCCTAAACCCAAACTGGTAGGTCTTTCTTCCATAAACACAATAATTAGATGAACAGACACGCCGATCATAATGAGCAGAAGCACAAGGCAAACTTTGCTGCCTTCATGCAAACATTCAAGCAGGTATTAAACAGTCATGCTGTCTCCCTTTTCCCTCTCAGGTCCTGTTACTGCAAGTACAATAATTGGAAACTGTGTAAATTGACTGCTCGTTTGTGGTTGTCGGGGTTAAGTGAATGAAAATAAGAACAATAATCAAATCAACTCTCCAAATAACACTCCCTGATGAGCACAGTGCATCTCTCTGCGAGCATGTTTCAGTGTGTCACATTTTCGGACTCTGTGACATACACTTCCCACTAACCCAACGGCACTGACTAGAGGACTGAATTTATATCAATCCACAGCTGAAAATAGTACCAAACAAAACTGCACGGCCTGTGTATTTTACACATAATAAATGCCTTATTACTGCATTTGTGGCCAATTTATATTACAATATAACTGGAAAAGCCTTCAAATATGAATTGTCCTTATATGTGACTGAACAGTTGGTGCTGACCTTTGCCTTTTGACCCCGAGCGTCTGCCCCAGCAGCTGCAGCAGCTGAGCCATCGGGCGGCTGACGTCGTTCCTCTGGATGCTCTTCACCATACTGTGCAGCAGCTCCTCACTGAACGGCTTTTCTTCCTCTGGGACTGGCCGAGACACAGGGTAACCAACATCTGGAACACATGCACACACGCACAGAATTCATCATGATTTTGCATCAGACATGTGAAAATAATTTCAATAATAGATCATCTGTGAAGAGTAGGCACTCTCTCTGATGAGAAGCACTTGGGGCTGGGTATCTGGAAGGCATAAAGTGGTACTGCACTTGCAGGTGTTGAATAAGTAAATCTAGTACAATAATATTATAATGAAAAACATGGGTTAAAAAGTGGATGCACAGTACATAATGAATGTAACCCGGCAATATACAAATTAACAACTGAATACTTTACTTGTCATATACATTAAAATAAAAATAATGTTATCTGTAGCTTTTAAGATTTAAATTTAAGAGTAATTATTTGTTACACGTTACGTGGTTCCTTGTAATTACAGTCATTACAATCTGTTCTGCCAAACAGTACAGTTTCCTCTCAAAGCTTAACTAATTCACTTCAGAAACTCTGCTAGAAAACTACGACTCAACATCCTGTCATGAAGAATTGTTGCATTTGTTGCTTTACACTTGACCAGTGTAGTTATCTTCTTTCTCTCTTCAGGTAAGTTCAAATTAAATTATAGTTAAAATTATATATTATACATTATATTATAATTAGAGATGGCACGATACCACTTTTTTATGTCCGATACCGATACCGATATCATAAATTTGGATATCTGCCGATACCGATATGAATCCGATATAGTGTTTTTTAATCAACAAAACTGTTTTTTAAATATCTTGCTGCATTTTGTATAAGTTCATACTCAAGTTTAAAACAACAACTACACTAAAGCTATTCTGTTATACCTGTATGCAAAAAAAAATATTTCATAGTTCAGCAATACTGATCAATCTAATAAACTTAAACCTACACCATCCTCCCTATTCTGGTATTTTAAAGAGTACTTAGCGTAAATATTAAGCAACCTAACTAATAGGGTTCCAACTCCCAGCAACAACAAAAATAAATAAATAAAAAATAGGGAACCACCCCTCACGCTCCACCTCATGATGCTTAATCGACGTAATCAACCTTAATTTGATGCAGTGTGAAAAAAAATGCACAGAAATCAATTATTTTTCAAGAAATATTAAATAGATTCAACATCTTTCTTCAACAAAATTGCAGACTGCACAGATGGTACCTTCCCAAAGTAAAGAGTACTATAGCTTACTAGGGTATATATATTAGACTTAATAGTCACTATATACAGTAATTGACTTCTATTCATTTTACATCAAATTAAAACTTTGGGTGTCAGATAATTATTTATTAAAAGCTCGACATTTTAAATGAGAATAAGAAAGAAAAGTATGTCTTTGTGCCCCCTTTTCCCTGTTCATGCCCTATCGGCCCCCCTGGCTAAACTTTGCTAGATCCGCCCCTGCACAGTTACCAGCCGTCAGCTACGTAGAAAAAGATCCTCGAGTAGAAAGTAATATTAAATACATTCTAACAACAGCTGATCAAGCTTAAACGTGCTGCTGTTGTTCAGCTGCTGGTTTCCTCTTTCTGGTGCAAAGTGGGCCAAAAACAAACCAGAGAGACGGACTCGCGACAGAAAAGCCGATCAGCTGATCATTGATCAGTTTCATGATTGAAGTAGCAGCAAGAAGAGGCAGTCGCTCCATATATCGCTTGTTAAGCTTAACGCAGGAATGCTTTACAAACATTCAGAGATGGACTTACACACTTGCTTTACTTCTCTCGGGGATAACTTTGTCGGAGATGAAATGCCGGGTTGCTAGCGAAGCTCCAAATGCTATCCAGACCACCGACAGGTCCTGCATGCCACAGCCGCTCTATCACGTGATGCATACTGCTCCGACGTGCTAACGTTCTGAGGTGAGTTACGGCGTGTTGCAAGTTTTGTGAGGTGCTTTCGTGATATTTAATGGATCGGATTACATTTTTTATTTTTCTCCGATATCCGATCCAGTAATTTAGGTCAGTATCGGACCGATACCGATACGTAATATCGGATCGGTCCATCTCTAATTATAATTAGCTTATTATAACAGCATGGCCCACTGATTGTGTTGTGAGAGTACATACATGTGGTAAAAATGTCCTTACAGCAGAGCCCTGACTGCACATGTGCACGTCTCCCCTATTCTGCTGTCTAGTCTCATATTTGTGCCTCCGCTGTGCTGCATAAATAAAACTGAAAATAGCCCCCGAAATATACTTCAAACAGTTACCATAAGATTACATTACATGCAATACAACTGTTCACTGATATTTCTCATTTATTCTCAGCACAGAACTGCATTATTACTGCTCCTACCTACATACTGCTTCACTTTTTAATATAAAAAGATGGAAGTTTTATAATATATGTACACATATCCAGGAACACATATTACATTCATATTTTGCCTTTAGTTTCATATAAGTATTTAATTACTATTGATATAGTAAATGATTATAGTAATGTTGTAAGATGGGCAGATACCCTCAGGGATAAATACATATTATCAGACATTTTCATGCATGCACAAAAAAAATTACTACTACTATACTCAAATATTAGCATAAAAGATATTTTTGTTTATGAAATTGTTAGAAGTTACATAACATACTAATTTCCTAGGATACTAGGGCCATAAAACACTGTCATGTCTATATTTACAGTTTAAAGACCCACCAGTACTACTTCCTGTTAGTACATATAACATAGTATGATTTATATAAAACTATTTCTGAAGGTTAAAAGTTGCAATATATTTAGAAGCTAACTTCTAATAAATAAGAATGTCAAACTTTACACAGATTGCCCGTTAAACTACAAACAGTAACAGTGTTCACGAGTGGCAGCGGTCAGTGTTCAGTACCCAGCCCTTTAAGCACCACACGTTGCTGAATGTCCTCATTACAAGTGGACAAACACAGCGGACAGTCACCACAGATGCAAACCCACGTTCAAATACAGAGCAGGGCTGTATTTGAGGCAAACATGTCAAAACCACCTCAGAGTCAAAGTCTCAGTAAGATTTTACACCGCACAAACACTTTCATTCCAACACTGGGAAACCAGCCGCTGACTTTCCACAGACAACACTGCAGTGCAACAAGCAAAGGACACAGAACAGAGGGAAACAGCCAGAGCAGAGGACAGCACACAAACAACAGGACTCATCTGAGGCCGTCTGCAGCAGAGGTGAACACTCACTCTCTAACAACAGAGTACAATTAAGTCCTGCAAGACAGAGAGCAGACACAGCCTGTTAGCACACAGATCGGCCACTGCGCCTCCTCCTCCGTTAAACAGTCAGTTACTGCAGACATGTTAGCACCAGGCTGTGGTATTCGCCCTCACAAATCCAGCTGTTCCCAGGACTAAAAAAAAGAAGAACTTGGATTTTCTTTTGTTTCCCACTTTTTTGTTAAAATATGGACAAAATTAGGCGGATGGAAATGCACTTACTAATATTATAGATGAGTGGTCTCACCTTTAAAAACAATATTATTGTTCAGCATATATACACAGGAGGCTTTCTGATCAAACTGCTTCTAGAATATATATACAGTTATTATTTAACATTGTTGAACATCTGTACTAACATTAAAACTAAGTGAGGCAAAAAAAGCTTATGCATAGATATGTTTTATGCATATATGCAGGCATATACTCACCCTAACACACATAAATGTGTTAAAAGGGTTTTTATTGAATTTCATAAAAAAACGTTAATTAACTTACCTAACACACACAAAAAAATCTCTCTCTGTTTTTGGTTGAGAGCTGCTGAAAGAAGCTCCATCTATACGCAGGTTTTACAATATTCTCTTCTTTTTTGTATTTTCATTTTGGACAGACGGTTACAGGACCTGAGCAAATTTCCCCAATATCTGAGGAAATAGAAAACATGTCCAAGCAGTGCAACTCACTGTATGTGTTCCAGAGGATGTACAGAGGCTGGATGGGGTCCTGGTGCAGCTTGAGGTTGTCCCACAGGATCTGGATCAACACGTGTTTACTGTCCTCAGACATCCAGTGGTGAGGGATCTGAGAAGAAACAGTGTGAGTCAGACGTGCCAATGCTGAAAAACGCTGTGAAACAAAAAAATATTCCTTTCTTTTTTCTTCCATTATCACAAGCCATTGGATCGTGTGTGTGTGTGTGTGTGTGTGTGTGTGTGTGTGTGTGTGTGTGTGCGCGCATGTCCGACCTGGGAGTCTCTGTTGCAGTGCTCAGAGGTGAGGATGAGACCTGGCAGGTTGCTGGGTAGGTCCAGCCGTCTGAAGTACCAGACCAGGTTCCAGTAGATGATGGGGTGATGGTCCACCATGTCAGCCTCTGTGATCACTGAGTCGCCCTCGTTCTCCAGCAGACTCTCGAGCTCCTTCCACAGCACCAGTGGGCTCAGGTAGGGAACCGTCACAGGCTCTGGGTTGTGAAGCCGCCACTCCATACTCAGTGGGTCCTGAGTGTCACAAAAAGAGAACTGCTTAGGTTCACAGCCAGCTTGTGCTCTAGAGCCACGATCTGGCCTGGGAATTCCTCTGTGTGGGCTGCGACCCAGCCCCAGATAAGCAGACGAAAGTGAATGGATGGATCGATGGATGACAAATGACTTATTTATATATGCAGGAGATGTGAGTGATTAACATTGTTATGGTTAAATATTAATGAAGACAGGTTTGAAGTTATCCAACACAAAGGGATATGCAGCAACAGGTTTTTGTTTTGGTTTGCATTATTTTCAGAACTGGACGTTTTAAAACCTCTGTCTCTCCTTTCATTGTGTATTTTGTTCCCAGAGTAAACTACTAGAGGTACCGAACATGAACACTTAAGTTCACGGATTCAAGACATGCCGTACACACACCAGTCCAGCCTTACCGTGGCTTCGTTCAGACAACTGGGCAGGCTGCCTGATGTTGGCAAACAGCAGTTGTGTCGGGTCGTTTCATCCAGAGGACCAAAGGCGCTGACACTACGGGCTATAGGAGCTCCAGAGGATAGCGCCCCCTGCCGGCGTTCTACGGGTATATTGATGCCTTGATCCCTGGTTGACCGAGACCTGCAAAGATACAGCAAAGACAATTTGGCCCTTTTTCCCATAGACAATACTGACTATTTGAACATAGGGTCAATGATTAGGTATAGTGTTACTTTTCTATAAACAGCAACACTGATTTCTTTAGATCACATTAAGAAATTTCACTCTGCCTTCGAATTACAAACTGTATATTTTACAGGAGAGTGTCAGGGCAGCAACCTGAAGCAAACAGTGACTCAAAGCACAGCAGGAATGAAAACCAGAGTGGCTGGAAGAGAAAATTCAGGTTTTAAATGGCCAAGTGTGAATACTAACTTTAACCAACTTGAAATCCTGTGGCATCACCTGACTGATAAACTGAAACAGGAGCAATAGTTCAAAATCCCTTCTCATCCTGCAGCTAAAGGATGTTTTCACATGTTCAATTATTTGCCCACTGTGTACTGAGCTGTGTTTAATAAAGACCAGACAAATTGTCATGGTATTAATTTATTCAACTTGTACTTGTCTACACTTGGATGCAGATCAGGGAACATAATTCAAAAGCAATTAATGCCAAAATTGTGGTAAATACACATCTGTTTGCTTGCTCTATGTCAAGTATTTTAGCGATATATCTGTTTCTGTTCATCCCTATTGCTCACACATTTCATAATCTCAAGTTTCCCCCCAAATACCTCACAAAATTGCACCTGCACACACACACACACTCACACAGGCACACACACGCTGAGCTTTGTTAGGACAGGTGATGCAGATTCACTGCTCTTTTACAATGCAGATGTGGAGTGTGTGGATGCAGCTACAGTAGCTTTTCAGTTCAATAGCATTGTGTAACCAGACAAGCTGCATGAAGATGAGCAGAGGTCCATAAATAAATTTAAAAAAAATAAAATCATACAGCACGTCTAAAACTAAACTACAGGAAGAACAAAATTTTTAATGATGATGATGATCATCACACTGTATTTCAGATCTCAGGCCATAATAACATTGTAACAGTTGTACAAGACACGAGGTAAAAGATAAGGAAGCACAGACAACAAACAAACAGAACAAAAAGAAGTCCTTTTAATCTGAAGGTGTCTCAACAGTGCAGTACTTATTTTAATTTATTTTTTCATATTTTAGACAAAACACCATCTTTTCATGTTTTCATGCATTGCTTGTTAACAAATATTGTGAAAGATTTTAAAAACAATTGTATGATTATTTGTCTCACTAACATGTTTTGATACTAAATTTAAATCAGAAATGAGCAAAAACATAAGTAGCCAAAAGCTCCACTACATTCAGGTGTGGTATGTTAGCAGCAGCTAATGTAGCCTCAAGCTTTTCATTATACAACAAATGTTTTGTTTATCTCTGTCAGTCGGTAATTGTGTTCTTTTTACTGTACGTGCTCCAGTTTCAGTCAGAGGGTTTCATTTGTCACTACTGTCCACACTTTAATTCTTAAAGAATTTCTTAAATTTTCAAAAGAAAACTAACAAATATTTTGATTTTGACAAGAGCATGTAAACAAATGTAAATGTAAGAATGTAGTTTAACACTGAGTATGAGTGCATACCTTGCTGAGCACTCCTGCACAGCAATCATAGGGGACTGAGGGGAGATAGCTGTCGTGGGACAGGGAGTAGACAAGGTGGATGTCCCTGTGTCCAGCCCTGTGGAGGCAGAATATGACGAGGTCGTCGCCTCATCTACTGATGGGCTGCCCTTCAGGAAGAGCCTGCAGACAGGAGAGAAAAAGGGAAAAAAAAATTACTAAATCAGTACTTAATAAGACTTTTCTCAAGTAGTAGAACTTTAAGTAGAACTTAATCACAATAAAGGTTTTGTGCTTGTCTGTATTCTTCTTACTTACCTGAAGCAGCGTTATCGATACTGAAGAGAACATCAAGTAACAGAAATAATCAATTACACCTGTGGGGTTCTTTGCTTTTGAGACCAAAAGCACTCAAGTCTGGATCCCACTTACAACATTTTGGTGTCGTCTAAAAAAATGATATGACTTTTAATTTAGTCATATCTCCACTTGGATGTGCTTATGCTAAAGCTAGGCTAACACAACATCCATAAAGTTGTGATGAAAGTTTCAGTGTGTTAAACCCGTAATAATTAATGACTAAGAATGTACGTGTCTCAACTCTAACTTTTGGTTGAACTTTATTTGAAACGAAGCAAGCCTTAGATCATTTAAAAAGTAACTTTACATAATTCTGGCATTTAATCAATATGGACGGAGGGGGAAAAGATGAAGGGGAGAAGAATTGAAGGTGATTTATTTAATCTTTTTTGACAATATAGTCAATAGTCAACAATAAGCACATAAAAACAGCATACACACATACAGCACTTGAGCATTTGCCTACCTGCCAGGTCCTCGCATGTCCCTGATCTCCACATTGAGGAACGGCAGGAATGGGTTTCCACAGAAGGGGCAGGTGGTGTTCAGGTTGGAGTCGTCTGCTGTCCAGCCGGCCATGATCTCCTCATCATACACCAGGCAGTCGCAGGTCTTACAGCGAGAACAACTGGAGATCAGCAGCTGGAGGAAGAGGACACAGACGCAGAGACACGTTTAGCTTCTGTGGAAGATTAGTTTTGATTTTTTATATCTTGCAGTTTTACCTCCATGGCGTAGTTGTTGAAGATGCTAGTGTTGCTGGTGTACCGTGAAGAGCTGAGGTCCGACTTGTCTGGCAGAGAGAAGCCAGGCAGTCCTGCATCAGGATGAACAAACTGTCAGAATATGTGAGGGGGCAATTATATTTATTTGAATTTATTCTTTATTCTTATCAGACTACTTGTCATTTTCCATCTTGGTGTGTTAATGTTTGCCATAAAGAACAGGCCAGACTACTGAAAGCAGGTCTAAAGCATACTGTAGATAATCAAATTCTATATTCTTCTATACAAACTGCAAAGCTTTGTTTTTTCATTGACTACACTAAAGAGGAAAATACAGCGATAGCGTTTCTTGGTTGATAAGTAGAAACCCGTTGCCTAGAATCAAGCATTTATTTATACAGTGCTTTTCACATAAACACAGAGTGCTTTATGAGTCCAACACAATGCACATGAGAATGATATTAAAGAAAGAAAACAAAGCAGCACGAAACAGAAAGAAATTAAAAAATAAAAAGCAAAAAATGCACAATTTTTTAAAAAGGAAAAAGAACATTCATTTGAGTGAATCTTGTGCTGACCAGGGAGCAGAGATGTGGGTCTTCCGTAGCTCGATCCTGCAGTGGGACTGTCCAGATGGCTGCGGAGGGGGCTGCGTCTGGGACTCCTGCGAGGTCCTGAAGGGCCAACAGGGCCATTCCTCAATGGAAAGACCATTGAGTGCTCTGTGTCTCCAGAGTCTTCCTCATCTAACAGTGAGGAGCAGTCTGGATCTCCCGCACCGAGGGAGGACACGCTCAAACGGTCACCCTGGCTGTCCTGGATGACGAGAGCAGAGCATTTCAGTTTTTGCCAGTCTAACTTCAAACTTTCACAGCAACTGCAGATTATTTTAAATGACTTATTAGTAACTCTGACTGCCTCCAAGAAGATCAATGTAAAAATATAAACGAAACCACAGCACGAATCACTCAAATCTACAGGTACAATATTTAGTTGCTTATATGAAAGAAAACAAAAAAACAACAAACTGTGCTACTAAATTGTGCAATTTATTTAGGTTTTTCAGGGGGAAGAATTCACATGGATAATGTGAAAGTCTCAAAAACTCCAATGAGGACACACATTTCTGAAATGTCTCACAACAGGAACACTCACACAGTTTGCACATGGCAGGAGAAGATTATGTACTGTCTTTGGGAGAGATTTTTGTTTTGTGGTGTTTCTTCTCTATTGTTTTGGAAACTTTATAATAAAGAGCAGAACACAATGACACAATTACTAATGCAGGATTTCACAGAATCCTGCTGGACGGCCACAAGATGGCAGCAGCACACAGGCTTTGGTCTCATTCATATGCTGAGTTATAGAATAGTTAATAGTTGCTGTAAGTCACTGGCACAAACTTGTTACAGTGTAGAAGTACAGATTCTCTATCAATAAGACTACAGGCGTTTGCACAGTAGTTGGAGATATTTTTCACTTAAAACATACATTATTGGTTTAAAATTAGGGTATAAATTCACATCTAATACTCTAAAACAAACAAAAATGGCGGCGTCGGCCAGACGATTTTGAGAAATCTTGAGGTTCCTGTGAATTTTCTCTAAAATATCAAAATCAAACTAAAGCCTATTTTGTATGTGGTCAGCACACCATATTTATTTTTTTCAATGAAAAGAGAGAGCAGGACTCTGTACCTTGGTGGGTGTTGTGTATGTGGCAAGGCGCGTGTACCAGCGGCTCGCTTTCTCTGCTACTCCCTTCCCAGCAGAGAACATGCTGGTCTTGAACACATCCAGTGTTGGCGTCAGGAGTGTATCTAAAGCAAAAGAGGAGGAGGAGAGTGAAGGTGACGTCAGGCTCATCCTGTCCGCCCTCTCTCTGTAGGGGCTGGGTCGAGGACTCGGGCTGGGGGTGGTGCTCAAGCTTCGAGTTGGAGGCGAAGACCACAGATGTTGGCGCGAGATGGGCTGCGAGGGCGACGGCAGCTGGAAGGTGCGGGAGCGAGACACTCCTGCAGTCCTGAGGGGGGAGCTGTGGGGGAGGCTGGCTCTGCGGGAGGAAGCAGAGAGTGAGGAATGGTGGAGGAGGACGGGGCTGGCTGGGTCCTGAAAGTCCAGACTGGGCGTGCGGCTGCTCAGCGGGCTGCCCATGTGGTTCATGTAGAGCTCAATCTCCCTGGCCAGGTGCCTCCGGGCACTAGGAGTGCTGGCCTGGTCCCCCTCCGTGTACCGCTCCTCATTTTGCTGATCAGACTCTGCTGCCAGGAGGGAGAGAGGGTCATAGCCTGTTTCAATACCTGTGCGCTTCACAGTGCCTCTGTTTGTCATGGTGCTCACACCACCATAGCTGGCGCTACGTTCAACAGCTTTTTTATAAGGTTTTGCCCCCTTAGAGGGCTTTTCGAAATCCAAATCCTCCAGATCAAAAATGGCCTCTGTAGTGTTCCTGTCCTCATCGCTGGAGTCCTGCCGCTCCGCCTCCTCATCCACTTCCCTGTGATCACTACTCCTGGCAGCGTGTGACTTAGCAGCTACCCCCTCGAGCCCACCCAGAGCCAGGGAATGAGGCCTCCTAGCCTTAGTGAAGTTGGCACCAGCGAGGATTTTAGCATCTGCGCCCAGGTGTCCTGCGATTTTATCTGGATCAGTTTCACCCTGGCTCATGCCCAGGCCCAGGACAGTGGTGCCACTCCCACTGCTTCCCACAGTGTCACCACTCAGCCGACGGCTCTTTACACCCTGCCAGTCAAGCGCTGAGCCACTGCTGGCGCTGCCCACCACCTCCTCCAGAGTGCTCTTATGCCTCCGGAGCAAACTGTTTGTCTGAATCTCACCAATCTCATCCAGGGAGGTAGTGAAGAGGAGACCTGCAACGTGGTCTGGCAGACAGGGAGAAAGAGAAAGAGAAAAATGGCAAATAATAAAAGCCACATTTGCATTTGTATCAGGAGATGGCACGAGTGAGCAAAGGAGGTGAGATCACTTGACTTGTTAATTTTCAATGTTAGAGAAAAGATCATGGCCTCAGTCCAGCCTGTGCACATGAGGAAAGACACCAACTATAACTACAGAGGAGCCTTTCAACAAGGAACACCCAAAAAATAAAGCTGTGAACTGAAACAGCTAAATAATTTCAACTGTTTGTCACAAAATAAAAGTATGAGTACGGGTAAACTGTCCAAGGCACTCCTATGTTTATATTGAGGAAATCCCAAAAAGAAAACCTTGAAATGTGAATTACAGCAGAGAGAGACAGTTAAGGTACCACATTAGAAAATCTATTAAGCTCTAAAGTCTAAGGAGCTTGGAAAGAAAAGCGTCTGGACTTCTTTGAGTTGCTTGAAGATGTTTCGCCTCTCATCCGAGAAGCTTCTTCAGTTCTAAGGGTCAAATGGTGGAGAGTCCCAGATTTAAACCCAGTGGAAATATCCCCCCAAAGAGGGACAAAGGACCCCCTGATGATCCTCTACCTAATCACATGAGCCAAAGTGTGAAAGCGGGTGTGGGTCACAATCAGCCAGGGTTTCGGGTGAGCTCATTGTGAAACCTGGCCCCACCCTATCATGTGATTTCCTGAGGTCAGATGGCCCAGGATGTGAGTGGGCGTTAAGGCGTCTGGGAAGGGATCTCAAAACTGGATTATAGATGGTCGCTCACAGTGGACGTAAATGGCTTCTTTCACTCCTCTTTAAAACCATCTGTCCTCTGTCCAAAATGTGAATGTTGGCATCCTCGAAAGAGTGACCTCCTTTGTCCCTCTTTGGGGGGAAACTCCCACTGGGTTTAAATCTGGGACTCTCCACCATTTGACCCTTAGAACTGAAGAAGCTTCTCGGATGAGAGGTAAAACGTCTTCAAGCAACTCAAAGAAGTCCAGACGCTTTTCTTTCCAAGCTCCTTAGACTACGATGACCTGGATGACTGAGAACCTTCACAGACATTAAGCTCTAAAGTTTGCAACTACCTGCGCTGGCGGAGCTCTTGGGTTTACAGGCTGAGTCATCAAATGGACAGCTGCTGCGAACAATGCCACGGGGTCTGAAGGAAGAACTCATCTCCAAGTCAAGCTGAGGGAGGCAATCTTTGCTTCCCTTGGCACTTTCTGTCTCTGACACTACAAACACGAAAAACAATTACAATTTATGCACACAGCACAAAACACACCAACATTCTTTAAAAAAAAATTAACTGCAGGACAACAAACAACTGAAAGCTTTGATGTTCATGAGAAACCAAAAGGAATGAATCATCTCTAGAGGAGACAGAAAGATCAAGGCAGAGGAAAGGGAAATCCCACGTGGCTACAATGCTGCCAAGTTAGGGTTTTTTTTTCCCCCAGTTAAAGGCAAAGGAATATCAGGTGACATCAGATCAGACAGAATACTGACAGGAGCTGCAGTCGCTCTCCTTCTTGTCGTCTTTGTCAGGGGCAGAGTCCTGGCCAGCAGGGTCTCCTCTCCGCACCTCCTCTTTTGACAGGGAATTATAACCCAAGTCTGACTGATCACCTAAAAAAAAGAAGGAAAAAAAAAAAAGAGTACAACTTGGGTGAAAGACAAGGACAAACACAGGCAGTGAATTATCTGAATATCTAATTATCTACCTAGTAAAGCACAAAGTCACAGAAATACACATCACACACACGGAAAGTGTAAGCAGAGGGACAATTCAAGAACAAAGTTGAGGTCCAAGCCCTTTACTTCCATGTTGTATGCTAGATAACAACACTATACACTGCATTGCGCTATGGGACTAAAATCTTACATGGACAGGGATCTACTGTAGCTTTACACTGTAGGAAGAGAGATACATGAAACATCTATGAGAGAATGAACCAGTGAGCCATTTTCTTCTCTTTATCTTCTCAGTTCTGCCTGGCACATTGTTAGTGCTGGGAGAAGGCAGAAAAAACAGCTAAGCTGTACTGGATAAAGGAATCCCCCCCGAGGCACGCAGAGATCTACAGTTACCATATAAAAACAAACTGCATTTTTACAGCTGCTAATGATTCTGACTGCTACGGCTCGAGGCTCACGCTTCCATCTGTCTCTAAAAGTTTTCGGGGTCCTCAGGCAACGAGCTGATTGATTCGTTCTCCTCTTTCATCCTCCACACGAGCCTTTGTGGCAATCACCTCTAAATAAACCATGAGGCTGCACAGCTCAGCTGTGATACAGCATAGAACAACTTGCAACTGACGGCGAGTAACACAACTCCAAATCCTGGAGAGTAATAACCAGTTAGCTGCACATGGAGGTCCCTCCCACCTGCTGTGCTGTGAGCTGTGTCTCACTCTCAATCTTTATGCACACGAGGCGACGCTTCCTGCTGAGGTGCCATCTCCATGATTAAAATGATTTCCGTAATCAAAAAGAATGCATCTCTGGATAATTACTCGCCATAATTGACAAAGACAAATCACTCAGTAGTGAGAGTGAGAGTAAAACTCGTGGGAAAAATGAGCAAGGAAATAGAAGTGGACTTTGATGTGCTGGATGGAGCAATGACACAGTGGAGGAAAGAAAGAGGAGAGGAAGTCACAGGGAGGAGAGCAAGAAACAGTAACACGTAACAGTGACAATGACAATGACGAGCAAAATAAAAAATGTTGCAGAGCAGCTAAGATAGATAACACAGACAAACGCAACCAGAATCAGACAAGGTTGACTGAGAGAGAGAGGGTTTACCTGGGTGGAGGGTGGCTTCTCTGAGCTCAAAGCCCCCACCGTGTGAGTGCGCCACCGGGGCCCTGGTGCCCAAGCTGCCGCCCCTACAGCCGACTGCATGCGAGGGCAACACAGGCAGGGCCAGAGTGAAGGCAGGTTAGGGACAGAGCAGAGCAGAAACCACAGCCGCAAAAACCAGGCGGCGATCATGGATGCACAAAAGGATTAACAGGAGGATAAACAGGAAGCGGAGGAAGGGAGGTGTAAATCGAAGAGGGAAATGAGGAGTAAGTGAGTTGGTGAGTGGATCGAATGAGGAGGGAGGATGAAAGGGTGACAAAAAGAAAAGAAAAAGATGTTGAATAAGATGGCTGCTATTGAAAGATGGAGTCACGCAGCAACCATCTGAAGTGTACCTGTGCTAGATCTATCATCAGTGGGGTCTACTTTGATGGAGTCGGCGGCGTAGGGGCCCTGCTCGACCAGGTTAGTGTCGGCAGAGCTATCCAGGCTGCCGTGACTCACAGCGTCCAGGTCGCTGCCATCTGCCCAAAAACAACAAAGCGTTAAAGGAGGCTGGTGGCGTTTAAGCTCAACAAGACACAGCCGCTCTATTTTTACCTCTTTTTACATCAATTACACCAGTTTGGATTGCATAGAAAATTCATTATTTTGTGGGTGGAAAGAAAAACGTGTTTTCATTTCATGAAAATTAACTCATAAATATTTTAAATGAAAATTAATGATTACTTAAAATCACACTGGAGTATCTTTGCAGGCGTACAGATGCCCATTTTGAGCAACCATCACCCCTGTATTGGCACAGCTAGATGAGTGTGTGGAAAAATCTGCCTCTGTGGGTTCATTTATATTCTCAAATGTCCAAATGACTTTTTCCTTTGAAACAGGATTTTTGTTAAAAGACATTAAGTTTTGTTGATGTAGTAAACAGATTTCATACAGCACGAGCACCACGGCCTCCACAGAACAGCACAAACTGACTGACCAAAGAATAAAGAAGACCTCGATGCACAACTGAGTGAGATGATGTCAGAGTCTCTAATTTGTCAGACAGACACCACACAGGTCCTCAATTGGAAGCCTCACTGAATGGTACCCATAGGAGCCAGACCATGACGTTTCAGGAAATGTTCTTTCTCTCTTCCATGAAAAAGTCTTCATTTCTCAAAAAAAGCAACTCTTAGTTCAAAGCAAAAAAATTTTTTTTTGAAAAGCATTTTGGGACTAGATTAAAAACAAAGCTGATGACGTGAATACTTAATGCTTCTTTGATCAGCACAAAGTCAGCACTGCACTAACATTGTCAATCTGCCTTTTATTACATAAAATGTAACACATCAGGTAACATAGCGTGCCACTGATAACACAGGAGTCATGGTTTATGAAAATGAGCCTCTGCATGTTTTTATGCATATTTATATCAGATTTTTTAATTGATTTTCTGTCTAACTTATGGCTCAGTCACACTAGAGTAAAAACAGGACAGAAACCTCCTCATGACTAGAAAAAAATCCATGGCTGCCTGGTGAGCTTCACTGAGTTTCTTTCATTGATTCATTCCAAGTAGTAGTAGCTACCCGCAGGGTGTCCAGAGGTTGAGCATGCAAGACCCTCAACATCTGCGTGACCCTTTATGAGTGCAAGGTGATTGCACAGTAGAGCTGGGCGATAGAACGATAACGATATGTATCGCGATATAACTTTTACTCGATAGAGAAATTAAGCTATCGCGATAGACCTCGCCGCTCTTGTCCTC